GCAGACATCCTGCGATGGCACTGAGCAAATCTTCTTGTTTTCTTTTAAATCTTTTTTCTACGAAAATTACACTTCCTGATGGAATTTTTATAATCCTGAGAGCTTAGAAATTTCAAGTTACAAACAAAAAGAAAACATTTTTAAATTTACTTATGATTTTTCCTGATAAGTTTAACTATGAAATATTTTATTTTTATAATCAGGGACATTTTTGGTAGTATTAAAATTATATTTTATTGCTTTACTATTGGTAAATACTATATTTTATTTTATTTAAACAAAAATAAAACCTTAAATAATTAATTTAAGTATTTTGTTTTTATACTCAAGGTAATTTGTTGGTAGTAGGTAAAAAAAATTATATTTTATTGTTTTACGATTTTTTCTAATCATTTTAAGTATTAATTCTTAGAAACACAAATTCTATTTTATTGTTTTACTGTTGGTAAATACTATTTTTGCCGTGTTTTGGCACTTGGCAACGGCTGCACTTTCGATTCGATGGCCAAAACCACAAACAGACGGGGCGAAAGCGAATGAAGAAGGGTTTGGTGGCAGACAGGCAGCAGCTGCGACACGTTGCGCATTGTGTTAGGGCCAAAACCAAACCAATCCAAAAAAGGGGTGACTTGGCCAAGGATGAAGATGGTGATTGAGCCGAAATCGGAGGCGGAGGCCGGGACACTGCGGACATTTCGAGAAATGCTGCCCCGAAGGCACGCGGCGAGAAATGGAAACCGGAAATGTTGTTACCTTCTCCGCTCGAAAGGGAGACGGGGCGGGGGTCATTGGATTGGGCATCGCATCCCGGAAATGGGTGCAAATGCGACGAATCGTTATTTTCGAGAGTGTGTGCTGTGTGTCTGATTTGCAACGCCGCAGGGAATCGAGTGCGAAACGCACTGCCTGGAATTGGTTAAGAGATTTTGGGGGGCAGAGAGGTGGAGGTCAAAGTTGACTGGAAACGACGGAAGGAGGTGCGAACATTCGGTGCCATGTGCTGCTGCCCATTGCACAATAATTTACATGCAATTAAATGCAAAATAAATGCAAAGAGATAAATGATTACCGGCGGAATGGGAATATGGAATGGCGGGAGGATAGGTTGGTCAAGAGGATATCCAATGGCAAATAGAAAGTGAAAACAAAGCTTTATATTGGTTTGGAAGATCCAGTAACAGCTGGGTTGTTAAAATCCCCTTTAAAATGTAAGGATGTGAAATTAAATATGAATATGTATTTTTCCAAGCTTGATATTATTCATTATATATTAATGTTCAGTATTAATTTGTATTTATTTAATTAAATATTTTTTAGAATTTTACCAGATACAATTTTATTGGTGGTATCAAATTATTACGGTGGTATCAAATTTAATTATTAATACGTACACATACTTAAAGACATAAAGACTTCTCGCCCTTAAACAAGAAAATAATATCCAACCTATACACCCCTTCCCGGTTTTTAATGGTCAATAAAAACGTTTAAATTTACGACATTTTCTGGCCCAACCACAAGGACCCACAGATATGTGCGTACGTATTTCTGTGTAATTGAAAATGCAATGGCCAACAAACACGGAAATTAAACCGTTAACTGTCTTTTGCGGTTGGCTAGCAGAACAAATCGAAAAGCAAACCGCATCCATCAGTCGGTTGGCGAGTGGGAAAGTGGGAAAGCGGAAAAGTGCAAGTGAAATGCAATTGGGGAAAAGGTGGAGCGTAGACCCTCATGGTGTATTTATCTACCGTGTCCAGACCAAAAAGCATTGCCTTTCCTTATCCCCTAGGCCCAATACACTTGAAGAAAAAACCAGCTGATTGAAAAATGTTTAAGTATAATATTTTAAAATCTGACATTTTTTGCACTTCCTATTTTTTTAAAAAGAAATTTTTTTATTAAAAATTCTTACGACTTTTTTGTATTTCTTGCTGTTGCACTTTTCGCATACTTTTCTCTCCAATTTTTTTGAGTCAATGAACTGGAGTGTGCATTTCTAGGCCTTCCTTGTTGTGCCAGACGATGGCTAAAAGCCTGCAAAAAGCCATGGCCAGCTTTTTGAGAATGTAAATGGGTATGGAAGTGCAGCAGGAAATGGAACTGGCTGACGAAGAGCCATTGTGACAGGTGAACAGCAGGTTTATACACCTACATACTTACCAGCACATCCACCTGTCTGGCTTTGGGTCTTAAACTAATGCATTTCTCTAAAATCAAGCATATACTTGATATGCTTAGAACAGCAGATATATATAATATATTTTATATAATGTACCATTTATCATTGGGCATACGCATATACATGTAACTGATCTGTCGTCAATTGCAAATGCCGTTACGCCTTTTTATTGTTCGCCACCCAAATGAAATTTGTCAATTCGAGCCAATAAAATGCAGGCACTGAGGCACACACATGCCAGTACAGTGTGGTACAAAACTATAAGACTGTACAAAAGTTACCAAATATAACCAAAGAATGGTATAACAACTAAATGATAAAGTTGAGTACAAAATATTTCTTATATAATATTTTTTATAATTTTAGAATGCTGAAAAATATTTTTATAAAATTAACTCTTTTTTTCAGTTATTTATATTGAAAATAATACAATCTTTTTATTTCTTTTTTGTTACATTTTTTTTAAATATATCATTTGTTCTAAAAACTCGTAAAGTTTTAGTTCTTCCAGTTTAATGAATTTTTTGGAAACTTCCTAAACTTCTGAAACGCATTGTATTCCTCCATCTTTTGCAGGCAGCCTCCTTGGAAACCTTTGTGCATTATCTCCTTACTTTCCTTGCATTGGCCCGTTCTTTCCTTTTGCCATCTCGGATTTGTATTAAGTTTTCCTTTTGTCCAATTTGGGTTGGCTTTCAGCCTGTTGAGGAACTTTAACGCTCGTTTTTCGTCTGGCCAACTGGCTTTTTTGCAGCCCGTCTGTGTTTCCTATAAATTGCATTTCCTTGATGGTCAAGCCCGACAAGCCACGCCCCCTTGCGCAGCGCCCCCTTTGTGACCGCATTATTAAATCAGTATAAAATGTTTGACCCTTGGCCCCTCTACCTTTTCGCATTTTTCCTTTTCTTTTTCCTTTCCTTTTTTTTTACTTTTTGGTAATGGAATCAAAAGCAGATGTAGTAGCTGAAAAGTATGCTTTAAAAGCGTTGCAGCTAAAGCGTATAAGCACCCCTCACCCAGTTAAAAAGCTGAATAAAAAAATAAAACCACCCGATTCATGGGTTTTTATCATCTTCTTTCAACTGCTTATTGAAAAATTGTGCGCAACTCGCACAGAAATCATAAACAACGCCGCAGGGTGCACAAAATCTCCCTTCCAGTTGGCATTTATTGAAATCTGAAGGAGAAAAATTATATATCTATATATTCGTGTGTATGGCAAGCGTGGGTGTGTGTACAATGTACATATATAATTGCATGCTTTTAGGGTTGATGCGTTGAAATTGAAAATTGAAAAGCAAATACAACAATGCCAGCGAGAAGACAGAAGACGACGGGGAGAATCTGGGAATCGCAGAAAGTGAATCTTGTAGACTGAGGCAAAACACTTAAGTACTTCTCCCCCACATCAAAATCGTTGTCGCTTTTTAATTCCCCTTGAATAACTGGTGTCCAGGTGGTTGTGGGGCTTGGAAACTCTACAGAATTGATTGAAGAAAGATTATGAATGGAAGATATAATCAGATTCCGTTTAAAGGAATTACAAAACGGGGGCATTATTAAATCGAAGCAGAGCGATATTTCTGAATAAAATAAAGAGTTAAATAAATAATGGCAAGACACTGCAGACAATTGTAGTTGTCTACTACATGAAACATGGTTGTACATAGCATGGAGCTTGAAAATTATCGATACTTTCGATATTCTGACAATATCGATGCTTTGAAGGAAAATCACAAATAAAATTTCGAGAAATACTAAGAAAACTGTCGATATTTTTTCAAGCTCTAAACATTAAAGCATCTTCGATCCTAAAAACTTATCTTTAAAAAAAGAATATAAAAAACAAAATATAAATGGGGTAATTTTAAAATATTTGGATTTTTCCTACCTTTTTCAAAATTTTAATTCCTCGATTTTATCAAAAGCCTGTGCGTGACTTTAAGTGAAACGCTCATTATGAAAGTTTTCACAGGCGATTAGCAAGGCAGAGCAGAGTTTTGGCCCTGGTCTTGGCCACACTTGACCAGGTTCGCCGACTGAAGAGGCATCACCACCATTACCATGTACCATTTACCACTCACCATTTCCCACTTTCCATTCTTTAAGCCATGAACGCGACTTGTCGCAGCGTCTGCAAAGTTTTCGCCGACAACAAGAAGTGAAAAGGCAGGAGAAAAAAAATAAGAGCCAAAGGAAGGGAATTCTTGCAGGACTTGGAAGGAAGATCCAGGGACTAGGGACGATTTATCATCCATAAGTGGGAATTCATGGGCGTATTGTGAACGCAACATTTAACGCGCAGTCAGAGGAAAAAGACTCACTTAAGCAGGAGTCTTGAACCAAAGAAGCTGTGTAGAGATAAAGCTGAATATTTTGATGATATACATCCGGGTGGATAGAAGTTAATGTATTTGCCTGCGAGTTATGGCTAACCAAATTGTTTGTTTTTAGATAATGGTAACCATAAATAGAAGAACTTGAAAAAATGAAAAGTTTGCTTTAGTAATACACACCAAAATGCAGAAGAAATGATTTAAATCGGATCACTCATTATAAAGTTAAGATAAGCAATTAATGCATTGCCGCTAGATGGCGCCACTTTGAGCGATTGCTTATAAACAGTGTAAATGAAATTTACCAAAATGCAGAAGTAATCTTTTAAATCGGACCACTCATTAAAAACCTATGAGTAATTAATGCATATCCGCTAGATGGCGCCACTTTAAGCGACTGCTTGCATATTTCCATCTCTCTCTCGTACTTATTTTGCTGTTTCTTCCATCTTACTCATAAAAACTGTTTTCTTTTCTTGCAGACCTTCATAGTTCGCGGTTCCAGCCAGCCAAACACGATGGCCGTTTCGGTGCGACTGCCCCAGGATACGGGACCCTATATCGAGCACTATCTCATCCAGTCGCACGACAATGTCCTGAGCCTCGAGAGCTCGCGCTTCACGTTCGGCTCGATACCTTCGCTAATTGCCCACTACGCCCAGTGTTGCGATGAGCTGCCGGTGCAGCTGATGTTGCCGCGTGTCCTGCGGGAGGCGAACAATCGCAAGAAGCTGAGCTCCTTGGCCCTGCTGGGTCAGGAGTTCTGGAGCTATGCCAGCAGTCCCGCCTTGTTGGGTGGTCCGCCCACGCCAACGGTGGCGCCATCGTCAAGGGATCAGCAGCAGCAGCAGCATCTGCTGGATGCCAAGTCGCCGCTCTCGCTGACCGAAACCAGTGGCCTCGGAACGGCCACCTTCTTCAGCGATGCCCTGGTTAAGCCACCGCCCACAGGAGCACCGCCTCTTCCAGGAAGTAGTTCCCTCTTCAGTCCCACCGGAAGTGGCCAGTTGCTGGGATTCTTCAGCCAGGCGGGAACTCCTTCGGATACGACAAACTCAAGCCTCAGCTCCTTCACCACCAGCGGGGGTCAGCACCTGCAGCTGCTGAGTCCGAATTCGGTGGATTCGGTGATTCTAACCATGTCGCCGGTGGACAATCCGGGTCATTATCTGCCCGGTTCGATGGGCGGAGCAGCTCCAACGGCCATTTGCCCATCGTTAATCGAGCAGCAGCAGCAGCAACAGCAGCTGAGCACTTTCAAGGTGGCTCCAGCGGCAGCGGATCAAGTGGTGGATCAAGTGCGTCCGCAGCGACCGAAGCCGCCGAACACATTGAATCTCAAGCCGCCGGCACCGCCGTTGCGCTGGTCCAAGCCGCACTCGCCGGATCAGAATGGAGGAGGGGCCAATGGCAACTTTACGGTCACCACCACGGTTACCTTTTCGATGGAGAATGGTGGTGGAGGAGGCGGAGGATTGGCCAGTGGAGCGGCGGCGGGAAATGGCAGTGGCAAATTCGTGGAGGTCACCACGCCGGCGGCCAATAATCCCTTCAATGCCCTGCTCAACGGGCAGGCCAGCACTTTCCAGACCTTCGCCAAGCGACTGTCGCCGGAGGGCGAGTGCAAGGATACGCTGTCCTCGCAGGGATCCTCCTCGAACGATGGCCGCTGGCCACCGACGGCTAGCCGTAAGCTCCTCACCGCGAACTCTCCCCTGACTCCGCTGACGCCCAGCGGCGGCAGCAGCAGCAGTGGCGGCAAGTCAAGGAAATCGCGAGCGGGCAAGGAGTCACAGCACTACAAAGAGTCCGACATCCTCGAGAGCCCGCCGCTACAGTATTGCGCCAGTGCGCTGAGCGACAAGATCAGCGACTACGAGGACGTCTGGTCGCACGATCCGAGTGATCGGGCCAGCCTGCTCACCAGCTTCCGCCCCGTTCTGGACTCGGTGGGCGGGGTGATGAACCTGCGACCCGATCTGCTGGCCGAGACTCGTAGGTTTCCATTTTATTTGGGGGGTTATGATCCAGGGGTTTGAATATCTAAATATCTAAATATCTAAATATCTAAATATCTAAATATCTAAATATCTAAATATCTAAATATCTAAATATCTAAATATCTAAATATCTAAATATCTAAATATCTAAATATCTAAATATCTAAATATCTAAATATCTAAATATCTAAATATCTAAATATCTAAATATCTAAATATCTAAATATCTAAATATCTAAATATCTAAATATCTAAATATCTAAATATCTAAATATCTAAATATCTAAATATCTAAATATCTAAATATCTAAATATCTAAATATCTAAATATCTAAATATCTAAATATCTAAATATCTAAATATCTAAATATCTAAATATCTAAATATCTAAATATCTAAATATCTAAATATCTAAATATCTAAATATCTAAATATCTAAATATCTAAATATCTAAATATCTAAATATCTAAATATCTAAATATCTAAATATCTAAATATCTAAATATCTAAATATCTAAATATCTAAATATCTAAATATCTAAATATCTAAATATCTAAATATCTAAATATCTAAATATCTAAATATCTAAATATCTAAATATCTAAATATCTAAATATCTAAATATCTAAATATCTAAATATCTAAATATCTAAATATCTAAATATCTAAATATCTAAATATCTAAATATCTAAATATCTAAATATCTAAATATCTAAATATCTAAATATCTAAATATCTAAATATCTAAATATCTAAATATCTAAATATCTAAATATCTAAATATCTAAATATCTAAATATCTAAATATCTAAATATCTAAATATCTAAATATCTAAATATCTAAATATCTAAATATCTAAATATCTAAATATCTAAATATCTAAATATCTAAATATCTAAATATCTAAATATCTAAATATCTAAATATCTAAATATCTAAATATCTAAATATCTAAATATCTAAATATCTAAATATCTAAATATCTAAATATCTAAATATCTAAATATCTAAATATCTAAATATCTAAATATCTAAATATCTAAATATCTAAATATCTAAATATCTAAATATCTAAATATCTAAATATCTAAATATCTAAATATCTAAATATCAAAATATCAAAATATCAAAATATCAAAATATCAAAATATCAAAATATCAAAATATCAAAATATCAAAATATCAAAATATCTAAATATCTAAATATCTAAATATCTAAATATCTAAATATCTAAATATCTAAATATCTAAATATCTAAATATCTAAATATCTAAATATCTAAATATCTAAATATCTAAATATCTAAATATCTAAATATCTAAATATCTAAATATCTAAATATCTAAATATCTAAATATCTAAATATCTAAATATCTAAATATCTAAATATCTAAATATCTAAATATCAAAATATCTAAATATCTAAATATCTAAATATCAAAATATCTAAATATCTAAATATCTAAATATCTAAATATCTAAATATCTAAATATCTAAATATCTAAATATCTAAATATCTAAATATCTAAATATCTAAATATCTAAATATCTAAATATCTAAATATCTAAATATCTAAATATCTAAATATCTAAATATCTAAATATCTAAATATCTAAATATCTAAATATCTAAATATCTAAATATCTAAATATCTAAATATCTAAATATCTAAATATCTAAATATCTAAATATCTAAATATCTAAATATCTAAATATCTAAATATCTAAATATCTAAATATCTAAATATCTAAATATCTAAATATCTAAATATCTAAATATCTAAATATCTAAATATCTAAATATCTAAATATCTAAATATCTAAATATCTAAATATCTAAATATCTAAATATCTAAATATCTAAAATATCTAAAATATCTAAAGTATCTAAAGTATCTAAAGTATCTAATGTATCTAAAGTATCTAAAATATCTAAAATATCTAAAATATCTAAAGTATCTAAAGTATCTAAAATACCTAAATATCTAAAATATAAAATTACAAAAGCAGATGCCATAATCTTAAAATGTAGTATAGGTCCATCATAAATATAGCATACTTTTAGGCAGTTTTTTAAGTGGTTTCAAACCTGTGGAGATTTTCATAGAACCCTTTAATTCAAAGATCCTACTAAACATATACTTTTTCCTTTTCCCCCCTCTAGCGAGCACTCCCACACCCACGCAGCACCTAACGCCCTGCGAGGAGGAAACCACCACTGCCACGCCCAACGAATCCTCGAGCCAATCCCTGCTCCAGTTCTCCGGCGACGTTCCGGCCCGCTCCCGGGCAGGTCTGCTCCTGCCGAATCTCTCGGGACAGGCGCCGCCCGCGGCCATGTCGCAATCGATGTCGGCGGCCGAGGACGATGGCGGCGATACCACGCCCACGGCCGAGGGCCAAAACCTCGGCGGCAGCAGTCGCAGCAAGCAGGGCAGTCCATTCTACGCCGAACCGGCGGATGCACTGCGTCAGGCAGGCCTGACCAGTGCGGCCACCGCCATTCTGCGGCGCCAGCATCGCAGCCAAATGCTGCACGCCAGCCAAAGACACTCGGAACCACTGAAAGCGGGCTTCGGGGGATCAGGAAATGGGGCAATGCTCCCCAGCGAACTGGAGAAGCTGGCCGGCAGCCTGGACGAGCTGAAGCCCAAGCCGAAGGTCTCCCAGCAGCAAAAGCAATCGCAACAGCAGCAACAGCCCAGCAAGCGGGCACGCAATCTCATCGATCACTGGCAACTGGACAGCAGCTGGGAGTTTATGGCCAAGCAGGATCAGGGATCAGGCAGCGACTACGATGCGGCGGCCATCGATTGGCAGGAGAAGGAGAATTCGCTGGGCAAGAAGCGTACGCTGACCATACACCAGATCATCGCGAACAGATTGCCCGATCTCAATCTCCCAGAGCTGGTGAGATGCTCGACGCCGCCTTCGCAAACGAGCGCCCTGCAGCCGCATGTCCAGGGACAGGATAAGGATAAGGATAAGGTCGGACTGGGTTGCCGGCTCTCCTCGTACGACAACGTCTTCTGCCAGAACTCCTTCGGTGGCATCGATTCGGCCCAGTCCGATGATGGCACCATTTTCTCCGAGCCCTGGGACTCCTCCCAGTGGGACTCCTTCCTGCCCCACGATGGTTAGTTACAGGGGAAAATAAATTATGATCCGTTAATGAAAAGTATTCCTCTTTAGATGCCACCATCAACTCGGACACCATTCATCTGTCCAAGTGCCGACCCGCTCTCTCCGAGGACGACACGATCGCCGAGGAACTGCAAAGCACCAAAGACGGCAGCAATGGCAGCTGCAACCAGGATACATTGAAGGCCAACAGGAATGGTGGTGCTGGACACCACAAGCCCAACAATACCACCAATGGCAAGGCCAACAGTCGACCCAAGGTGGCCACAATTCTGCGGAACCCCAGCATGCGGGATCGTGAAGTCTTATGTAAGTATTAGCTTATAAGGTGAATTAAATATCTCCAATTGATATCTATCATAACATATTTCTAAGCTACTCTGTTGATTAGAAATCTTTGGGTATTTATTGAGATGAAACATCTCTAATTGTGAATGAAATATCTCCAATTGATATCTATCATATCATATTTGTAAACTCCTCTGTTGTTCAGACATCTGTCTTATGTCTTTGTATATTTATTGAGATGATATATCTATAATTGTGAATGAAATATCTCCAATTGATACCTATCATATCATATTTGTAATCTATTCTGTCGTTTAAACATCTGTCTTATATCTTTGGGTATTTATTGAGATGAAATATCTCTAATCGTGAATAATATATATCTCCAATTGATATCTATCATATCATATTTGTAAACTCCTCTCTTGTTTAGACATATGTTTTATATCTTTGGGTTTTATTGATAAGAAATATCTCTAATTGTGAATGAAGTATCTCCAGTTAATATCTATCATATCATATTTGTAAACTCCTCTGTCGTTAAAACATCTTTGTTATATCTTTGGGTATTTATTGAGATAAAATATCTCTAATACCTGTAATCTATTATATCTATCATATTGCAATCTAATCGGTCGTTCAGAAATCGAACTTCTTGGGTATTTATTTGCCCAATATAACATCGAAACCATGTCAAATGCCCCCCAGCACCTGACGGCACTTCGCCTTCGGTTCAGTCGTCTCGTGTGCTTGGGAAGTGGAGTAATGATGCTGCGGATCACGCTCAATTGCAATCTGTTATTATTGTTGCATCATACTCGCTCATGTGCCCCATGGTCACCAGTGTTATGGTTATCAGTGTTATCAGGCAGCAGCACATCGTCATCGATTGACGGATTGATTGAGTCCACGGAACTTGGACGGCAGAAACAGAAATGAAATGAATCAATCCGAGGAGGAGCACTCGAACTTATTCGATTTGTGTTGATTTTTTCTAAGGAAATCATAGTTTGCAAATCATATTAACTTGAAACCTTCCTTGGTGGCAAAAAGGGGTCACAAGCATTACTCATACGCAGCTACGTCGGATTATAAACAATAGGCATACGAACCGCAAAAATAACTATAGCGATAAAGAGCTAATTCCTTTTGTTTGCGTATTTCGAAAAGGCTGGATGCTTTTAACTCGAAAACAAAAAGTAGGTTCATAATTATATAGACAAAAAATAATTATATTTGGTACTTTTCTTATAAAGATTTCGAGTTAATAAAACTAGAAATAAGATTTCTAATATATTTCCAAAGCCACAGCATTTCACAAATATGTTAGTTATACCCGTTACTCGTAGAGTAAAAGGGTATATTGTATTCGTGCAAAAGTATGTAACAGGTAGAAAGAAGCGTTTCCGACCCCATAAAGTATATATATTCTTGATCAGGATCACTAGCCGAGTCGATCTAGCCATGTCCGTCTGTCCGTCTGTCTGTCTGTCTGTCTGTCTGTCTGTCTGTCTGTCTGTCCGTCTGTCCGTATGAACGCTGAGATCTCGGAAACTATAAAAGCTAGAAGATTGACATTTTGCATGCAGATTCTAGGAGTTCCTACGCAGCGCAAGTTTGTTTCAAAAGGGTGCCACGCCCCCTCTAACGCCCACAATCGCATATATACGATTTTAAAAATTTCAATATTTTGGAAAAGTAAAAATGCAGTTTTATTGTGTTTATCAATACCTATCGAAATGTAGAAGAAATTTTTTAAATCGGACCATTCGTTAAAAAGTTACGGCGGATCAAAGTTTTTCTCCATCTCTTTCGCACTCCCTTTAGCTGAGTAACGGGTATCTGATAGTCGGGGCACCCGACTATAGCGTTCTCTCTTGTTTTATATTAATTTTTTGTATTTCGAGTTTGGTCGCTTTTAACTGTGTAGCATTGTATTGAAAATGACTTATGTCTGTCGTCTGCGGCGGTTTTAACTGGATTGCAGCGACATCGGCAGAAAAGTCGCGTAGCCTATCAGAAAGAAAAAGCAAAAAAAAAAACTCGACTGCGCTTTTTGCCGCTGCTCTGTCGCCGTCGACTGGGGAGACTACAAAGCCTTGCCGAAACTTATCTGCTGCACAACGCCTTCAAGTCGAACCCAATTCCAGGCCCAGCTAATCCCGCCCACTCCCTTATCCGCTGCCCATTGATTTCTGCGTCGCAGTTGACAACTAAATACAATTTAGATATGTTTCCAAGGCAGCCGAGAGTGAGAGTAGTCGCATTTTAAATTTTTTAAAGTCGAATATCTCTCTCTTAGGTGCATCTATGAATTATTTCCGAATTTTGGTTTTTGATTAAATAATTTTATCTCAACCAGTAATCGCGGGACTGTGAACTTGCAGAAAAGTGGGCGCTCTTTTATATTATTAGTGATAACTTTAAGGCGATTGAAAATCGCTACTAAAAATCCGAGCAAGGGTATAGAAACGATGATACATTTTTTCCGATTCGCTGGCGGGGGAGGGTCTTCGTCTTAGTCTTAGTGTTACAGAGACAGACTTTGGAATGTAAACCGACGTAGCGACGCCGGCAGCGTTTTTATCAGCGAGCGCAAATTTCACCGCGCGGAGTTAGAGAGTCTGAATGGGATGCGTAATTAATACATGGGCAAACACGACATCAGCGTGTATTTATGTTTGCAGATTGGAATGCAGTTAAAGAGTAGGAATATCTCGACCTAGACAGTCTATTTTTGGGTCAGTGTAAGCAAAGACAAACAGATCAGCCAGACAACAAAGGCCATCTGATGATGAAAGCCAAATAAAGGCGGTGCTATTTTAAAAACGCACTCGATTCACTCGCTAAAACGCATTCATCGAGATATGGTTACTTTTTGGATTCGAACTCGAATTTGGTCCAGCCTAATTCACACGTGCTCATTTTTCGCCGCCTTGCCAACTGAATTGTTTGCCTGCGGGCATTGTAAAACTTAATGGGGGGTGGCTGGTGGATTGATAAGCCAAATCTGTAGGGGCAAATCTTTAGCCCAACACAAAGCCCTCAAAAGAGAGAGAAAAACAGACAGGTACACGGGTTCAGTGCTCCCTGTCCCAAGGTCCCAAGATCCCAGCATTCAAATCTCCTGAACTTTGAACAAGGAAGATCGAGCGTCGGGAAAAAAGCCTCAACCCTAAACCTGGTAACCTCCATTTACCGCCCGGAGGTTTTTCCGAATTGCGCATCAGACCCAAGTCGCAGGCTAATGCTGATGCAATCCGGGCGATCCATTGCACGAGAACCCGGACGGAGTCGCGGCTCCAGTTTCGATTTCGAGCTAGCCAGCGTGTCTGTTGATAAGACCGTTGAGAGATAGAGGATTAGAAAAGAAGAGCACTCCCAACACTTTGTTCAAGGACGAAAATTAAAACAGCGATGAATGAACCGAAGGTGAACGAAAATGAACCACCAAAAGTTAACCAAAATGAACACTAAACCTAGAAATTAACCTTATTTGAAAAGGAGATTTTTCTAAAGCACAAATATTACTCAAAATTACAGCAGCGCTGAATGAACCGAAAGTGAACGAAAAATGAACCACAAATGAACACATAACCAAAAAATGAACCTTAATTTGAAAAGAGGATTTTTCTAAAGTACAAATATGACTCAAAATGAAAGCATAAAATTACATATATTTATCATGGGATTACTGTAAAGTACCAAAACCACAGGATTTACAGCCCTGATTATTTAAATATGAGTAATACAAGGGGCTTCTTAAAATGGCAATCGAACATCTGGGCTTTGTTTTGCAATGGGGTCTCCGATTTGTTCAGCGATCCCTCCATGAATCAGCCTGCAATGGTGATAGCTCTACCTACAGGTAAATGGGTGGGTTGTGCCCACTGGGTGCAAAACATGGGATTGGACTACCTGAAACCAATCGAAGCCAGCGATTGAGTCATTGGCTTGCGCAACTGTACCTGAATGGCCGGAAATTCCCGGGAATCCATGGTCTAGGGTGGACCAAATAGGATATGCGGACTACCTGCCCTGTTTTGGCCTGGAAAAGGTCATTCAAATGAGGCCGCCACTTGGCGAGTTGACACATTTAGCGGCGCCGACGTCGCTATCTTTGTTTTCGCGGACTGCGACGTCGACGGCGACTGCGATGGACGACGTCGTCGTCTTATAAACTAATGCGTATGAAGTTCAGAATTAGTTTTGCATTGGCCGCGTTTAGAGCAGCAGCCCCTGCGAGAGCAGAGAATCGAAATCGAAATACTATATAAGCTAAATACCATAGAGATCAAGGGATCGCTTATCAATCAGCCGCAGCGTGTGCCGATGAGAAACCTGCGTTTCCGCCAATTCGTTTTAGCTGGCAAGAATCGCTACCGGATATACCATGAGTTGGTTCAGAAGATCGTCGCGTGCACCGTCCGCGAGCCGCCCGCATTCGCCATCGCCTTCGGGGAATCCCACGGATCATCGCGACATGTCCAAGTCGCTCAGCTGGCTGGACGAGCGGTCCATTGAGCGGCAGGAGCCGGAGGAGTTCTTCCACGATCCCGACCATGTGCGCCACTACAAGGAGGAGGCCCAGTTCCTGAGCATCATGTCCGAATGGGAGATCATCGAGCATCCGCCGGTGTCGAATTACTTTTCGGCCGATTTCGAGGAGGAGTTGCTGCAGCAAAGGACACAGTTGCCTCGGAGTTCACTGGAGGATATCAAGGATATGGATAAGGATATCAATGAACCCGAGACTAAAGCAAAAAAAGAAAAGCCCAAGAGGAAGCGTAAATTCCTGGAGCTGCTATTCGTGGACAACATACAGACTGGCATTGCCCTGCCACAAAGTGATGAACCTCAACCCTCTTCCCCCACCGCAGTGCTGTGCAAGAAGTCGCGGAAGTCATCCAGCTCAGCCAGCAGTATTGTGGCCACCACATCATTGACCACCAACTCATCGACAACCTGTCCGCAACAGGTTTTAAAAGACTGCCGCATCAATCGGAAGCAACTGAAGACTGAGGCTCTGGCCGGCTCCATAATGGGCGCCATTGGCAAGTGCCCAGCTGGCCAGGAGGAGGATGAAAAGGAGGTGGCCAGCAGCGAGACGGCAGCGGATCAGGACCAATGCCATCCTGGTGAGCTGAACACCTGTGATCACTACGACATCAAACAGTTCTTTCACCTGGACGAACAGGGCAACATCCTGCTGAGCATGGCGCACATTGTCGAGTGCCAGGCGCTGGGATTGTGCCTCCAGTCGCAGAGTCGTCGTCTCTATCGACGCTATCGACGTGGCTGTGAGTGTGCCGACGAGGAGGAGGATGTGTGTCGCCGGAATCGCGGCTGTTGTCGCATTCTGCGTAAATTGCTCCGGCTGCTGTGTGAATTATTAGCTGGTAAGGAGGGAGTAGGATTGCAATTTACTCTAGATAATTTATAAAAATTATATATATATTTTTTAAATATTTTTAAAAACCCCTTTACTAATTTATTACCTTGCTTTTCTATTTACAGGTCACCCCCGCAACAAGATGAGCATCCAGGGCAGCGGCCCCGGCGACTCTTTGCGCGCCTACACCCTCCAGTTGGCCCAGGATCCCAGCTCCACGTTCGCCCGCAACATCGAGAACTTCATCTGCTGCACCAAGGAGTCGCGCGAGGCGGCGCCCCAGGTGGTGATGCGCAATATGCGTCAGTTTATGAGCGGCATGAAGAACTATCTGGTGAAGCATGGCGAGGGCAAGTTCCACGCCGAACTGGAGACTGCGAGGTCGCGTTTGAAGTCCGATGAGTTTCTCAATCTGGATGCCATGCTGGAGACTGTGATGCATCAGCTGGTGGTGCTGCCGCTGCGGGAGCATCTGTACGGGATATTCGTGGATCACTATCAGCGCAGCGAGGACATCCAGCTGCTGGCCCAGAATGTACGCTATGCCTGCGAACGGGAGGCCGCCGACTTTGGCATCCGGCCAACGGTTACGCCGCCCTCGCAAGCGGCACTGCGGCTGATCGCCAACCTGCTGTGGCGCCTCCAGGAGGCCGAGCTGCCGCTGGACAAGCTTGAGCTCTTCCTCTGCGTCATCTCGACCGTGTTCGATGCCACCGGCTGTCCGCGTGGCCAGCAGCTGGGCGCCGATGACTTCCTGCCCGTCCTCGTCTATGTGGTGGCCAAATGCGGTTTTGTGGGCGCCGAGATCGAAGCGGAGTTCATGTGGGGCCTCCTCCAGCCGACGCTGCTCAACGGGGAGCCGGGCTACTACCTAACCGCCCTCTGCAGCGCCGTCCAGGTGCTCAAGACCTTCATGGCCTCCGAGGGGGAGAGCGGCAGCGGATCCCTGGACGTAAGTAGCAGTCGGAAATCAGATGGGTCTTGAGATGGGTTCCATTGAAATTAATTAAGAAACTAGTTTAGGCCAACTTGACGCTTGAAATGAGACTTCCAATTATTTTTTAACTAGATATTAGGATATTTTAGTATACAAATGTAGGTAATCATGCAGCCATAAATATATAACAATATATCTTAAAATCAAAAATTATTATTATTACTTTTGTATTAACATTTTGGCTAGAAAAACAATAAAAAGTAAAGGCAATCTTGGGATTTACTGGATAATATTTGGATTTGACTAGCATATAATAAAAATCAAAGTTCCAAAAATGAAACAACATATAAAAACATTTGATATTTTTAATTAATTAGTTCGATTTGACTAGATAGACAGAAATGAGAGTATAAGGTGTATTTTAGTGGAACTAAACAAATAAATTGGATCCCTAAAGATTTTTATTTACATTATAATAAAAAAAAAAAAAAAATAAAAGGTGTCTGTACATTAGCAAAGTCGTTATAAAACGAATACATAATTCGTATTAATATTTGGATTTGATTGGCTGATAAAGAATTTGTAATATTTAGAAACAGTTTATTTTTCCAATTAATTAGTTAGATTTTACTAGATCAGTGGAACCAAGATCAAGCTAATTCCATAAAGTAACTCAGTTACTAACTTTGCTTTACTTCCATTGCAGTGGCGCTCCAGCTGCCTGCCCGCCTGCTCCAGTGTGCTGCGCGTGATCATTCCCGACGAGTGCAATGGATCGCTGCAGACCCGCACTTTGCCGGTGCGACCCCACACGACCACCCGCGAGGTGTGCCGCATCATTGCCCACAAGGCGCGCATCACGAATCCGCAGGACTACGCCCTCTTCAAGCTGGTCGACGGCGAGGAGACGCTGCTGACGGACGCCGAGTGTCCGCAGGATGCCCGACTGGCGGCCAAGGGCAAGCACTGCATGCTGGCCTACAAGAGGATCGATGCGAAGATAGCCTGGCCGACTGCCCAGCTGGCGGGACACTGATTCGGTCGCCCAGTTTACACACCTACGACATACCGCCCCGCCCCCCGCCAAACCCGCCCTGCCCTTCTTGCTCACTAACCAAGCATATTTGATTAATAATTTATTATTATTACATTAAAATATACTTAGTAGCCTGTAAGTAAAGCTAATTAATGCTAATTAGAAAACATCTAATGTGTACTAAACATCAGTATTGAGTTAAGTGTGTTTTTTTTTCCCGACCCTCGGGTCGAACCCCTTTTTTTTTTGCTTATAAAATGTACTATGCGAATAATACATATACACACATATATACGATATATAAACTTAAGCGAGTAGAGATGCAAAATCTGCACAAAGGAAGTGGCAAGGAGTCATCTAAACGAATCTACACTCTAAACATATATGCAGGCACGATCGTTCGGATCGTGTGTGCCACCACCCTGGAGACCAAAAGCACAGTTCAACAATCACAGCAACAATCAATCATTCATTCAATCAAGCGATCTAGCTATCTAGCGATCAGTGCATACCATCAAACTACACAAAAGGCATTTAGGTGTGAATGGGTTTCGTGTTTTTTTAAGAAGCTAAACCATATTATATTAAAGTATAAACCACTACATTTTAATATTTATGTTCGACTAAACACTGCTATCAACCCTCGAGATATACATAAATACATACATATTTTTTTTGTATACTTTGTAAAATATGTGACACATAATCCAAATAGCAAGCAAATAAATAACCAAAATAAAACAAAGGGTTCTTTTTAATTTAAGGAATGGTTGACCAAAAACGTCTATAGGAAAGTATGTTAATATTAAATGGATTGGCAGAGATATTTGATTTAATTCCCTAAACTAGACCTCTCTTTCCCCATCGAACATTGCTTTGCCACATACTTTGTGGCTGGCGATTAAATTTTAATTTTAATTAAAATTCATAATATATGAAATAAAGTAGAGCCGCTCTCGCCAGCCCGATCCCAGTGATTCTCCAAATGTTCCTGCTCTTTTGGGGATTAGAAAGGTGGGGGCTATCGCCCGGGATCACGACAAATCGAAAAAACCGGGAGCCATCTGGGGACTTAATTGGCCCCACAGACTATTCAAATCGAGTCAAAACAGTCGGCGCGACAGATAACGATAATGGACGGTGGGAGATTTGCAAAGGCGATTGTCGCCTGGGTCTCGAAATCAAATTGCCTATATATGCGGATTTATTGTCGCCAAGAATCGTTACTCTCTCTTGGGCTTGGGCTCTCCATGCGAAAATAGCCGAATCGAATGTCGCGATTTAATCTGGTGTATAGTAGAACTATCAACGCTCCTCTGCTCGCCTTGTTTTGATGGAAATTTGAATTCGGTGCGATAAGGACCACACACTCGCACGGATGACGGCGGACGGACAAATATACGGACAAACGGACAAGTGGACAGACGGACACGGGCTGAACTTTTAAATTCGCAACGTGTGCAAAAACGCACCGAAAACGCCAGCAAGTCTGCACAGAGAAAAAACACACATTGATATCACTGTCCCATTGCCAAATAAATATATAAGTATGATCCGTAGGCTTATCAATAAATATATTCAAAATCATTTTTCGTTGGTCCCTTAGAATTTATGCATAAAGAAATGTAGTTAACACAGTTAATTTATTACATCATATTCATTTATTTGGATATTTGGATTATTGCAAAATCTGTAGTTTTTCGGCTTGTACCTCTTTCTAGATTTTTAAAATTTCTAATAAGAGCTTTATAAATACAAATATATAAAAATACATTTTGAAAGGAATTCAATTATTTTGTGGTTATGATTTAAAGTTTTTATTATTCTATTTTGAATCCCCAAATCAACCAAATCGATCGAAACACAAATTATATATTAGTCCAAGTACAACCTTTTCTTTCTAAAAATTTGTTCGCGATAACCAATAATAACGCGATAATTATTAATTATAATTGATAGCCGACTAGCCATAAGCGCCTCCTACGTGTTTTAGTTACTGTTACCAAAAAGCGTTGGCTTATGATAATTTTTGAAAAATATGAAATGATATCTCATTGCTTTTGTGATGAAATGTTCAATTTATAAAATTTTCCCAATTCCTTGCAATAATTAAATCTGAGTCATTTTTATGTTACACCTTTAGGGGTTTTTTTATTTTCAGGGAGCTGGTCTGGGAACTTTTTCTTTGTTTTGCTATCGTGCAACAGTTGTAAATTGATACAGATTGGAGTTTGAGCAAGCCATATATTTTTGGTTTAATTATAAATAGATAGCTGGCCAACGATCGCCATCGCTGCGGCTCTCGATTTTTTTTTTAAATTTTAAGTGTGCTCTTATCAGCGCGACACAGCGACAGCAGCAGCAATAGCAACAAAAAGGTCCAATGACGTGATAATAAACAATTATTGCCACGCCAAATGGTCCCAGCCCCAAAAGCCCCATCCCCCGTGGCGAAGAAGAAGATTAAGGAGCCAAACATCGATACACTGAAAACGAATCGGTGGTGTTTTTAAAATTGCAGAGTTACAGAGTAACAGAACAGATAACATAAAAATAAATAAACCCATAACACTTTCCGTGTAATTAAAAAAAAAAATAAAATTTTCTCCAATTTTTAATTTTTTTTTATAAAATTTTAAAAAAGTTAAATGTTTTGGTTTAAATGCCAATCGATTGGAAATTTAATAACGAATTCAGAAAGGTATGACAATCCATACTCTAAACCAGTATTTTTTTTTGTTATAGCGAAAAAACTTTGTCAAAAACTATGACAATCAATATTTGGATCAATATTTCCGTTGTGTCGGACAAAAAACTTTTTTTTTAATTCGGGGTAATTCGGGGGTTGTATAGGAAAATGTAGTGTAAATGTAGTCATTGATCTTAAGCACGCTAATTCTTTAGTTTCATATGAAACATTTTCATAAACAGCAACTTGATGACCAAATCGGCCTTATAGTTTTATTACATTCACACTTGCGGCTTTAATTTGTTGATACACATTAAATGCAATCCTATTTTTTGCCGTGCAGCTGAAAATGACCGCAGGGGGCGCAGAAGGGGCGGTTCGATGTTTTGATTAGACGCCTCTAAGTACAGAAAGTCAGGCGGGCAATAAAAAACAAAAGATTGACGAGAGTAAATATATTGATTATTGCACGGATGAAGTGGGCTGTTCGATAACTTTCGCACAAGTCCCGAGCGAACGAGCCTATAGCTACAGCCAACTGGTGATTGGTGGGTGCAGATCGGTGAGGAAGTGGCAGCCGACGGTGTGCCATAAAATAAGTTCAAGTCTCGGTGCCCGTGTGATCAATCGATTCAATCTTTAGACGTTGAAGACCTTGTGGCAATTGAGAAGTTTTTGAATATCCCTTTTTTGTTGGGTACAATACGATCTGGGATTAAATGTATCCAATATGCTATCTTATATTTAAAGCTTTTTATTTTAAGGCATTCCATTTGCAATTTTTTTAATGAACCATAGTTATTCAAATAAAATATATTATTATGTTTTTTTTAAGATCTTTACTAATTTTTCACTTGTTGGATTACGTAAACAAACATTTAAAATTATTCAATTCATGTTATAAGTAAAACTTTCTACATATTTTTTATATACCTACATTTATTAATGAATATTACAATTTATTGAAAAAGTTTTTATTAAAAAACATTTTATGTTATTTTTGTTTACGAATAATTTCAATGATTCCTTTTCCATTTATTCGAAACTTTTTTTTCTTATGCTCATTTTAAATAAAATATACATTTTTTTTAAATTTTATAAATTTATTTATTTTTAAGATGTTTTTTCAAGATCTCATTCAATCAATTTGAATATGACATAGTTATAATAAAATCGTAATCTTCGTTCGCAGATGGATCATAAACTTCCCCAAAACTCAATGCAATCAGATCCGGGTTCCCCGTAATTTTGTTCACAACCAGATAGGAAAACCCCTCAACAAAGGACCCCACTTGCTTTAATATTTATATTGTTATATTATAATTGTTGAACGTGATCCAAAGTGGAAGCCATAAACAATTTCAATAAAATAATTAATGTCAAATAAATGATAAGGACGAAAGTATTTATATGGTTCCCAGAAGCCAGACAAAATCCGGATGGCCCAGCTTTTTCCGCCGCCGATAAGCGCCTGGCCCACCCGAAAAGCAGTCCAACTGCTTGGCCCACCCACGCGAAACCGCGTACCTTTGGCCCAGTACCAGAGTGAGTACTACCCCTAGTGCTACCACCACCACCAGAAGCACAGCAACAACACGGCCCGTGCCAATAATCGCATTACGCATACGCCTCGTGCACAGAGAGTGAGCAGGTGCACCTTGTTATGAAGCCTATTTAAAGTTAGCTACAGTTAACTTATATTAAATTAATTTTTTTCAATCTCTTACACATTTTACATTTTGAATGAAGTATATAATTCTCTTTTTAATTTGAAAAATTTGACAACTGACTATAGTTTTAAATTAAAAAATTGTTTATTTCTTTCTTTTTAATTGTAACCTCTATTTTTTTAAAGAAAAAAAATTATGATTCTTTTTACCAAATTTCGCATTTTTTATAAGGGGTCACATAATGATTTTGGCGAAAAATGGCCAAAATTAAAAGTTCCAGTTTTACATGATAATCAATTTGGAATTTTATAAGAAGTTCGACATGGTAATCAGGTTTCAGTCTTCAGTTGAGGATATAGGATTTTGATTATAATATAAATTAATGTTTTTTTTTCAAAAAATGGTCAAAAATAAATAGTTATAGGTTTGAGTACCACCAATTGGTAATAAAATGACGAACTCTACGACGTTTACATTCACTTTTCTGAACTTATTCGGTACCATGACGACTCAATTAAGAAAGCTTGTAAATATCATTGTATTCCATTCGAAATGCCCTGTAAATATGGTTGATACATCCTTCTATAGTAAAATGCTAGATATATTACTTAGCCGCCATGTTGTTCAGTACTTTGCTATCTGATAAATAATGAAATCTTAATCTAATAAAAAAAAACAAAGTAATGTGATATATGATATATATATATATATATATATATATATATATCACTGATTTAAACGCTACGAACAATGTAAATATCTATCAGCTATTTTTCTGTGTTCGTTAGGCTGCTCCAAGCCGCCGTCATTTTGCCCCACTGTGCGGCGGAGAGCGAGAGAAACCGCCCAGTTGGCGCAATCACAATCTGCGGCCCAGCCGAAGATCCAATCGCCTGGCGCTGATATAGTCATATAGTCGCAAAGTCGGCGATCTGAAAAGCGGCCGTCGCAGAGGCAAAAGCAAACCACTTGGCATTCGCGCTGGGCGAGCTGAACAGTGCGAGCGTCAAGTGTCGCGACGGTTTTTTCCACATATTCCGCTGACATCGAACAACATCAACAACAGCACCATCCATCCATTGACATCTGTTTTTTTGTTTTCTGTTTTCGTTCGCGTTGCGTTGCGTTATTTTTTTGTGTGTGCGAGAGCGTTCGAACGATCGATCGATCGACCAACCGATCATCATCAGTGGCAAACAAAGCGATCGAATCCAGCAGGACAGCTATTGCCATGGAGGTGTACACGTCCGATAGCTCGGACACGGACTCGCGGGAGCAGAAGACCCTGGACTTTGGCCGCATGAGCCTCGATCTCGTCACACTGGAGGACCATCTGGCCTCGCCGCAGAAGGCTCTGCTCCGGTCCAGCGGCGACATCGAGACCATGCTGCTCAACCACAACCAACTGGTCGGCCTGCCCCGCGTCCTGCTGCAGTTCGCCAATCTGAAGATCCTGGATCTCAGCTCCAATGCGATCACCTCGCTGCCGGACGCCGTCTGCCAACTGCCGCTCGTGACGCTGATCGCCAAGAACAACCTGCTGACCAACGCCTCGCTGCCCAAGTCGCTGCTGGCCAAGATGGCCAACGGAGGTGGCTCCACTTCCAACTCCACGCTCAAGGAGCTCAATCTGAGCGGCAACCAGCTGACCCACTTCCCCGAACAGGTCACCGAGCTGCGCCACCTCAAGTATCTCTATCTGGGCGGCAACAAGATCTCCGGCATTTCGAAGGATATCTGGAAGATGCAAAGGTGAGTTTTTAGTTCTTAGTTCTATTTGCTCAAGTGGTTCGCTTGGGCTGTGTCAACAAAATGACACATTTCATTGTTAAGACCAAGCGGTTTATTTAAGGTCTACTGGTTTCTAATACGATGGTCGTGGGAAAATTAAGCCAAGTTTCTTAAAACTATGAAATTTGAACTTTCAAGGACACCAAAAGGGTAAAAAACCTGATAAAAAATATTTACAAAATGTTGTCTTTAAAAAATTACATTTTTTAGTTTCGGTTTGATTGTTTCGGTTTCAGTTTAAAACCATTTTTAATTGGTCAAAAACCTGATAAAAAATATTTACAAAATGTTGTCTTTAAAAAATTACATTTTTTGGTTTCGGTTTGAGTGTATGTACAATTTTTAATTGTTTAAAAACAATTTTTTAATTACTTTTTATACACTTATTTTAGAGCCCAGACATTTTATAGTTATTAATCGCCTGATGTAATAACCCATGGTCCCTTAGAAACCGAAAAAAGTTACCCCACATTTTTCGCGAAATTTGACTTAGGGTCCGTGAAGGTCAAAAATGAAACTTAGACTGACAAACAATGGTCAAAACACACAAAAGGGCGATAAGTCTAAACAAAATTAATAGTATAGATAACGAAAACTGAGCAATTGGTTAGATTTATGAGAGGTTTCCCATTATAATTTCATCGACAGCGCCATCTTAATGAGGGGAAGGGGAGATTTTTTGACTCTATTATAAAATCCTTTATAATCAGAAGATCGGTCGATCAACAGTGGTTAAGAGCAAACAAAATTGGCATGAACCAATAATATTGTTTGTTTTTTTTTTAAATTTCAAGATAATAATTATTATTTTTAAATTAATTTAAAATATTTGAAACAAAATTGTGATATTAACAAGGAGAACGCTATAGTCGAGTACTTTGACTAAAGGGAGTTTGAGGGACCTGCTTTCTCCATCTAGCGGACATTTCATTGTTTTGGTTATAACTTTTTAACGGATTGTCCGATTTTAAAATTTTCTTCTGCATTTCGTGGGTATTAAGAAGCATAACAAGATAGCATTTAAAACATTTACAAAATCTGTAAAGATAATGATGCCAGGATTTTTAAAAAGTCCTTTACTCTACTCTCTCCCTGGTACTTTGACTGCAAGAATAGTAGTCAAGATTATTTGATTTGTTCGAGAGTTCATTGCCCATTCATTCGGTTTTACCCCCTGCAGTCGAAAAGGATGCGGAATTTCCCATTTTTGCGAGTGTACTCCCCTCCGCACTCCCCCCTTGCGGCTTGACATTGGCCACTCGTGGAGAAGGGGCGACGACTGTTGCTTTTGCTGTTGCCATGTATAAAAGTCCAAGCACAGACGAGATCGTAATATATAGCTATATAGCCGGGGAGCTGATAACGCCGGTCTGCCACTTGTCCGGCGGTTGGGCGGTTCGATGGATCGGTTCGGCGGACGGGGATGGATGGGTGGGCTGGTTGGTTCGGTGGATCGGCGTCGTAAAAGCCAAATCTATCAAAAACACGTACTCGAATCGACCCAACCGATTTGGTCGGCCCATAAAGATACGACCGTGTATTAATATAATAATAAACAAAGAGCAAAAATGGCACAAATAAAAAAAATCGCACAACAAAATTCCAAATATCAGTTGAAAAACAAATTAAACAATAAATAACTCTTTACTTGGCGGCTACCGACAGCCAGGTACCCTGTATAAAATGCACTTATATTATTTAATTACATTTTAAACTGTTTAGAATTTGGAAAGTATTCTAGTTATTATATGGTAACTGAAAGATACTAAACTGTTGATACAGTCCAGCATACTCAAGAGCTCTATGAATATTACCCCTTTAGTAAATTTAAATGGGCATTAGTTATCAGAGGGCCTGGACTTTGCAACGTCTACGGGGGGAATTGATTGTTTCGCACTTAAGACCCCAGGTATGTGAAGAGGACCCTACGGCCGGAATAGGGGGCAATAGGGGGTGTGCACTGTACAGTGTGCGCCATAAACTGTGACATAAGCCAAGTGATTCACCAACTGAAAATATGAGTACTTGTTTGAAGGGAGAAATTAAATATAAATAATGCTCTAAAAAGTAAAGTCTATATACTATCTAATCATACATAGACCATATATGTTTATGAAACAATTATTTCAATACTTTCTTTTAAATGGTATAGTTCAAGTTTTATCAAGTAAAAAAAAATAATATTTGTAAATAACATTTTACAAGTTCTGATAAAAAATGGTTTCTAGACTGGTGTATACTTAATAATCGTGTTTTAGTTTTATATTTAAAAATTATTAAAAGTATAGATTTATTAAATTGTTATATTATTTTTGGCTACGCCCAAGGCCAAAGTCAATCGATTTCGTTCTCTCCAAATGAGTTGAACTTTGGGTTTCAATATGTTTGTATGGGGCTACCAAAGCTCTAATCAAGTTAATTTAAATATTTTCTCTACGTAGACTCTCAATTTCTTCTAGAGCTGGTCACATGGCTTTTTTATAGCTTTTAATAGCGTTTCTAAGTCGAACAAGTTTTTAGTTATTAAAATATTAATTATCTTACTCTTGATCTTAATTACAATATTTTAATTTATTCATTAAATTCGACTTAAAAGACCATTTTTTAATTTTATAATATTTAAAATACCTGAAAGTTGTCTTAGCTTACGTTTAAATATTATATCAAAACTAAATCCTTGTATCCCTTTAATCCTTTGCAGCTTGCATGTATTGTCTCTGGGTGGCAATCAGATCAGCGAAGTGCCCGAGGCAGTGGGCTCCCTTAACCAGCTGCAGGCCCTCGTCCTCTGCGACAACCTGATCGAGATCCTGCCGACGAGCATCGCCCGGCTGAAGAACCTGAAGTCGCTGCTGCTCCACAAGAACCGCCTGCGCCACCTGCCCAAGGACATTGTGGCCCTGAAGAACCTGACGGAGGTGAGATCAAATATTATATTATAATAATATAGTAGACAATATTAAATTATAATAATATTGCAAAATTACAATATTAAATTATTATAATAATAATATAGTACCCAATATTAAATTATAATAATAATATAATACCCAATATTAAATTATACTAATAATATAATAGCCAATATTAAATTATAATAATATTATTATTTTACCCAATATTATATAAACATACCCCACCATTTCAAACCTAATCCCTTCTGTGCCTCTCTCCTCATCCACAGCTGAGTCTGCGCGACAATCCGCTGGTGGTGCGCTTCGTGCAGGACATGGCCTTGAAGCCGCCCACCCTGTTGGAACTGGCCGGGCGGATGGTAAAGGCCAGCGGCCAGCGACCAGGACCCTACGACATTCCCAGGACCCTGGCCGAGTACCTGCAGAGCGCCAACTGCTGCGTGAATCCCAACTGCAAGGGCGTCTTCTTCGACAATCGCGTGGAGCACATCAAGTTCGTGGACTTCTGCGGGAAGTACCGGGTGCCGTTGCTGCAGTACCTCTGCTCCTCCAAGTGCATCGAGCCGGAGCAGCCGGCGGCGCGGGGCTCCACCGTGCCGGCTGCCAATGCCAGCAGCGGCTTCATGATGCGCAAGGTGCTGCTGGGCTAGCCGCCCAGCCTCCTGGGCCCATATCCTTCAACTATATCAACCGGGAGCGCGTGCGGAGCGTCGACCGATCCGGTATCGGATTTGGAGCGGACACAGAGACACGAAATCGATATCGGATTAGGAATGGCAAGCGGAAACGGAAACGGAGAGGAAAAGATCAACGGAAATGGAAATGGAGATGGTGGCGGATCCACGCGCTCCGAGGAGTCAGACAGCCACCGCCTGCCGCTCGCCGGGATTCCTTTTCCTCTTCCTCACACGTTATCAAATCCAATTTGAACTAGCTTGCTAAGTGATTACGACCTGTTTGTTTGCTCGCCTTGCGTGCCAATTTCTCTGTTTCTGTTTGCTTGTTTGTTTGCCTGTTGTTATCCACACTTACACAATCTATACCAAAGAAACTCGGCTGGCTTTCACTGGGCGACAAAAGGATTCGAGTGGCTTAGTAGCTTAGTGGCTAATGGAGCATTTGGCGATAATATAAACGACCTTATCGGGCCCCATTAATTGAGTTGGCAACGGGTAACTTAACTACCATTAACTACTCTCTTTCTTAGAATTTTACAAAGGGCGTTTCTTATCAATAGTGCTAATAAATGGATCAGTTTTGCTCGGTTATCTTAGAGTTTGTAGACAACAATGTTCCATCCTTCCTATGGCATATAAAACATCTAATTTCTGATAAGATTTCAATTTAAAATCAAAAAATCTACAGTACGTCCTAAAAGATCCCTTAAAGATATTCTATTCTAACAATTTCTTTTTAATCCTTAAATGCCTATAATTTCCTAAAATAAAAATTGGACTCAACCTTTGGCTACATGCAAAGTGATCATGAGCTTATCTGCCTTTCCTTTATCATGCCATATTTTAGGTATTTAATTCTATAAGACTGGATGAGTCTTTTGAAAACCCCCTCAAGAATAAATACCTGCGTCGTATTTGTATGGATAGTGTTTATTGTGTGTTTAAGCCAACGGTCGGCACACAATACAATGAATATTCGTTTTCCGGCGGAGCCCATTAATAAGAGGCTGCCGACCGCTGGTTTAATCGCTCACATCTGGCCGAAGCTCGCGCCAGAGACAGTGTCTACTACTAGAGATTATGAAAAAAAAACACGCACACACGGGGAGAGGGTAAAAGGGAAACGGGAAACAGAGGCGGACTTGTCGTTCGTCAGGGATTGGTCTATAAAATATAAATACAAAACTAGAGGGGGCGGCCAACAAAAAGGGTCACAGATAATGGGGAACGGGATACGGGGGAACACGGAACAGGCAACAGAGTCTAGAGCTTGAGCTTGTCTCGGCCGCGTCTTACGGCTACAAAAATGGGGAGCTGCCGCCCTTCTTCTACTTCTTCTCCTCAGAGAGGCAGCGCATTACTCGCGGAATGGGGCGCTTTTGTCTTAAAATTCTAGTTATATGGAGTAGTAGTTGAATGTAGTTGTATTCGGCGCTGCAATGGGCCCGCTTTACTGGTCCATCACCTCCTGGCTGGTGTCGTCGACCTCCATGGCGGCCGGTTCGTCCTTGGCGGCCGTCTCCTCGGTGGCCATTTCGGCGGCCGGGCCGCTTTCGGCCATGACCACCTCCTCGACGCGCGGCTCCTCCTCGGCCGGAGTGTCCTCCATGGGCTGGTCGTTGAGGGCCAAAGTCGGCGGAGTGACGGCTGCCAAAGGCGAAGCCTGCGAATCATCGGCCGCATCGGCGGGCGGCGTCTCGGCAGCCGAGTCGGCGGCGCCCAGCGGAGATTGTGGTGTTGTGGCGGCGGCCAGTTCTTCGACCACAGGGCTGGAGGCTTCCCCATCCTGCGACTCCTCGACCGGTTCCTTGGTGACTGCCTCAGCGGCAGTAGTCTCGTCCTCTTTCTTCTCCTCTGCCTCTGCCTCTGCTTCTGCTGCTGCTGGCTCGGCGGCAGCCTCATTCTTTTCCTCCGGCAACGGCTCCTTGGCCGGCTCGGTTTCAGTCTTTTCGGGTTGGCTCTCCTTGGTCTCGGCCTCTGGCTTGGCCTCAGACTTGGTCTTCGGTTTCGATTCGGCAGCGGGAGCTGCTTCCTCGTCAGCGGGCTTTTCTGCTGCTGCTGCGGGCTCAGTCTCGGCAGCTTCCTTCTCGTCCTGCTTCTCCGCTGCAACTGGAGCGGGTTTCTCCTCCTGCTTCTCCTCCTCCTTCTGCTCCTTTTCTGCCTTTGCCTTGGCAGCAGGCTCCTCCTTTTCGGTCTCAGCCTTTTCAGCAGCCTGCTTCTTGTCCAGCTTCTCCACCTTTTCCTCCGACTTGTCGGTCTTCTCATCCTCTTGCTTCTTGGCGATCTCCTCCTTTGGCTCCACCGTTTCCTTCTTGCCCTCCTCCTCCTTCTCCTTAGCAACGGCTACTGGTTCCTTTTCGGCCTCTGGGGATTTGCTCAGCATCGGGTCCTCCTCGTCCTCGTCGGCAGAGGCCGGGGAACTCTCCTCCTGCTCGCTCTCCTTCTTGCTGCCGTTCACAGCCTGCTTGGCCTCCTCCACCTCCTCGTCGGGCTCCTCGATCTCGGCAGCCTCTTGTGGGGAATCAGTCTCATCGTTGTCGCTCTTCTCCTCCTTGTCCTTCTTGGCCTTGGAGGCCACGACGGCCCCTTCGGCCTCCGGCTCGGCGGGCACTTCATCGGCGGCCTCCGAGCGCTCCTCGCCATCGCCCTCGATCTCCAGCTTAGCCTTCTTGGCCTTGGGCATGTCGTTGTCCTCCGATCGCGGGCAGCTGACCTTCTGGGCACCACCCGCCGAACCGGAGCTGGGCGCCGAACCCTCCTCGGCGTTGCCGTTGTTGAACAGCGCCTCGTTCTCCATCTCAATGTCGATGTTGACCTCCAGCGAGAGGTCGCCGTTGACCACCGAGTCCAGGGAGTCGCCGTTCTCGCTTTCGGTGCGCTTGCGTCCCGGATCAATGGTGCTGACCACTGTGAAGGGATCAGGGAACATGGGTGAGTTTTAATCGTTTTTATGGGGTAAAGTGCAGGGCTTACCCAGAATGTTCTTCTCCAGGGCGCGCATAAACTTGTCGATGCGCGAGTACTGCTTGCGGGGATCGATCAGCAGCTCGCACAAGCGCTGCACGGTGAAAGGAGCTGCATTGAAGAGGTCCAGGCGCTCGAGCAGCGAGGACTTCATGGTCTCGTAGTTGAAGGGATCAACATTCGGGTAGTTGGGGATCTCTGCAAGGTGAATTTTTGATTAAGACTTTGGTTTTTAACCTGAAGTTTAATTTGCTTTAATTATTTCAAGCAAAAGTTAAACAAAAAATGGTCTGTTATGTGTAACTTTAATGTCAATTACTTAGAAACGATGCAAAAATGTTTTTTTCAGGGTAGTTGGGGATCTCTGCAAAGTGAGTTTTAGATTAAGATTTTGGTTTTTAACCTGAAGTTAAATTTGCTTAAATATTTTAGGTATGTTATGAGTAACTTTAATATTATTTATACAACTCTTAATACAACTCTGAAGTGTAAATTTGATTTGTGAACCCAAAAAGAGTTTTCTCAATGTGAAGTTATTACTTTGATTGGTTTAACTTCGGGTTAGCAAGGAAATACCATGGGATGAAATGATGATAATTATTTTATTCACATATCATTAAGCAGGGATGCTATTATAACAATTTTAAATGGTGGATAACCTCTAGTTAAAAGTTAACCAAAAGAAAAACTAAATTCAATGTCAAGTCCCAGGAGAACATAAGAAACTAGCCAATACTACGTAATAATGGTAATTCACATATAATTAAGCTGTGATGATATATTATAATGATTTTAATCGGTGAATAACCTCTAGTTAAAAGTTTACCAAAAGGATAGTTAAATTCAATGTCAAGTCCCAGGACAACATTAGAAACTAGCCAATACTACGAAATGATGGTAATTATTTCATTGACATATGTATCATTAAGCGGGGATGATATAATGATTTTAACCGGTGGATAACCTCTAGTTAAAGACACTGGCTTGAAAACTCACCCTCCAGACGCGGCGAGTCCTCGTTGAAGTGCTTGATCACGCTGAGTAGCTTCTCGCGGAACAGATACTTGAGGCTGGACCACTTGAAGATGGTGTCCCCGGTCTTGGCCACATACTGCAGGTAGTCCTCCAGCTCCTTGGGTATCTCCTTTTGCTTGAGCCGCGTGAAGCGCTCCAGGATCTGCAGGATCTCGTCGCTGTTCTCCATGGTGACCATTTAGGCGATCGCTGAGCGGGGGGAAAACTGTGCGGTGTGGGAAAGCGTGGGGGGAAAAGCGGAGCGGAGCAGAGAAGAGAGATCAAAAACCGGCCGGCAAGTGATGAAAATTTTCCTCCTCGAGGTAGACACACAAAAAACCGAGAGAAGAGAGAGCAACTGCAATTGTGTGCAGGTATGCGCAAACACGGACATGAAGCATCTTGCATCTGCCAGCTGTCCCCCTCTCTCTGTCTCTCTCGCTCTTTTGGTGGAGGATTCGCAGGAGAAAACTAGTTATGCTGCACACACACACATTAGTATTTGCTAAAATTCGCAAATGCTGCTCTCCCGTGTGTGTGCGTGTGTGTGTTAACGGCTGCAACTCTTGTTGCCAGGCCATCGTTGTAGTTGTTGTAGCTGTCTGCGCCAGACGGCCAAAAAAAAAAATTATATATGCGACGCCTTGCGAATTTCCATGGCGAACCGGCTGAATATTGGCACATCCGCTTTTCCGGCCAGACCCTGGCAGAATTTAAACCGCCCACACTTTCCACTCACCTGCACTAGCTGCGCTACTGCTTTCTATCACAACTTCGCCTTTTAACAGCACTTAAACCCAGTTGACAATTGGATCGTTCGTTTGGTTTGGATTTTTTGGATTTTTGCGAGCAGTGTGACCGTTCGATGCCGCCAGCGATGAGCGACAGTCGATAGTCGCGAGCCTGCGGCAATCGGTAGTTTTAGAGTGACCCACCTACTAAACATCGCCCTATCGATAGTCCTAGATATGAACAAAAGGATAAATATCGAATGTAAAAGTTACAAAATAACGGTATTCGCGGGTGAGGACATCCTACTATTTAAATATTTTATTTTATTTCGAATTAATAAAAATGGATCCAAATAGGTAACTTATTTCTTTCCACTGCCTCTCGGAATCCCCTTTCCTAAAGTTGTCAGGGAAGCTAAATTATTGCGTTCAACAATCGGAGACTCCACATAAACTTGTAATTGTAAAAACCAAATCTAACTAAAAGGAGTACAAGTCATGCGTCGACCTCCAACCATTTGTTGACTTGGCGCCCCAAATTGAACGATCAAATTAGTCGTACCTTTCGTTTTAATCAAATAACTTTGTTATCCAGCAACCACAAAATTTGGTAAGTGTAATTTAAGGTAAATTAAATAATGAATTTTAAGACTGGGCAAAGTTAAAAGACTCAAATGATATTAACTAAATGGAGTACTTCGTATATAAAATGGAGTCATTAAAAAACGAGAAGATAAAACGGAAGCAAGGAGGGTTTGATATAAAAATCTAAAAAATAAAACCGAAATTCCGAAATAATTCAAACATAACAAGAGAGAACGCTATAGTCGGGTTGGTGTCCCGACTATCTAATACCCGTCACTCAGCTAAAGGAGGTGCGAACGCGGGTTGGTGTCCCGACTAATAATTGTAACTCAGCTAAAGGGAGTGCGAGGGAGATAGATATATGTAGATATTTTGATTGCGTATAACTTTTTAATGAATGGTCCGATTTGAAAAATGTCTTCTACATTTCGATAGGTATAAATATACACAACAAAATTGGATTTATACTTCTCGGAAATCTTTAAAGGTGTGACCGCCAGGCACATTTTAAAATCGTTAGTGGGCGATTTTGGGCGTTAGAGGGGGCGTGGCGCTCGTCTGAAATAAACTTGCGCTGCGTAGGAAGCCCAAGAATATGTGTGGAAAATCTCAACCTTCTAGCTTTTGTAGTTTCTGAGATCTCAGCGTTCATACGGACAGACAGACAGACGGACAGACAGACGGACAGACGGACATGGCTAGATCGACTCGGCTAGTGACCCTGATCAAGAATATATATACTTTATGGGGTCGGAAACGCTTCCTTCTAGCTGTTACATACTTTTGCACGAATACAATATACCCTTTTACTCTACGAGTAACGGGTATAAAAATGGTACAAAATAAAGTTTAAAACTTGTTCTTTATAAAACCGTAGGCACCGTTGAACCGTTGATATTTCTGTTCAAATAATTAAAAAAAAAATAGATCGGACGATTGACATATTTCCGAAGAATTTTCAAAAAGTTTGTATAAAAAATTATAAAGAATTTTCAATATCAGATTTTAAAAAATAGATCCGACGGCTGACATATTTCCGAAGAATTTTCTAAAAGTTTTTACAAAAAAATATAAAGAATTTTCAGATAACAAATAACAGATTTTAAAAAATAGATCCGACGATTGACATATTTCCGAAGAATTTTCTAAAAGTTTGTATCAAAAATTGTAAAGAATTTCCAGATAACAAATTGAAGGGGAGACACCATGGCCAAGGACTTCTACAAGATACTGGGAATCGGGCGCGGAGCCAGCGACGATGAGATCCGGAAGGCGTACCGCAAGCTGGCGCTGCGCTACCATCCGGATAAGAACAAGCATGTCCAGGCGGAGGAGCGCTTCAAGGAGGTGGCCGAGGCCTACGAGGTGCTGTCGGACAAGCGGAAGCGCGACCTCTACGACGCGCTGGGCGAGGAGGGACTGCGTCGTGGTTCGTCAGAGCAGCGCAGTGATGAGGGCATGGCTTCCGGAGGATCAGGATCCTTTAGCTACCAATTCCACGGCGATCCGCGCGCCACCTTTGCCCAGTTCTTCGGCTCCAGCGATCCCTTTACCATGTTCTTCGAGGACATGGAGCACTTCTTCCTGCCCAACGACAACGAGGAGTTTAGTGAACGCACCGGCCGACTTCCCCAGGATCCGCCCATCCTGCACGAGCTGCATATTGCTCTAGAGGACATAGCCAGCGGTTGCACCAAGCGCATGAAGATCTCCCGCCTTTCGCTCACTTCCAACGGCCTGCCCATCCGCGAAGACAAGGTGCTCAACATCGAGATCCGTCCGGGCTGGAAGTCCGGCACCAAGATCACCTTTCGCCGCGAGGGCGACCAGTTGCCCAACCGAGTGCCCGCCGACATAGTCTTCGTTTTGCGGGACAAGCCGCATCGGGTGTTTCGCCGCGAGGGCAGCGATCTGCATTACACCGCGAACATTTCGCTGAAGGAGGCGCTTTGCGGTGCCCGCCTGGTGGTGCCAACGCTCCAAGGAGAGCAGCTAGAGCTCTGCACAAAGGGTGAGGTGATCAAGCCGCAGTCCACGCGCCGCTTTCCTGGCCACGGATTGCCGCATCCCAAGGAGAACAGCAGCCGTGGCGCCATTGTCGTCAGCTTCGCCATTCAGTTTCCGGACTCGATCTCCAAGCAGCTCACCTCCTCGCTGGCCAGCCTGCTGCCCAATTGATTAAATTATGGGTTTCCGGTTGAAACAGAAACAGAAACACGCTGATTTAGTTAATTATACGTGTAATGGTTAAACATATTTGTGCAGGATCAGGTTTAAACGTCGCCGGATCCCGGCTTGAACTGGGGATTGTGCGAACGGGCCATTTTGGCCCTTAGCCACTCGTCCGCGTGCCGCTGCTTGATGTGCACGTACATATTAGAACGCGAGCGGCATTCCTTCGGGCAATGCGGACAGTTGTACAGCTGCAGGCCCGTGTGTATGGCCATGTGCTCGTCCAGGTTGCGCTGCTGCTTGAAGGTCTTCTCGCAGAAGGTGCACTGCAGATTGGTGGTCAGCTTGTGGGCGTACTTCACATGACCGCGAAGAGCTGTGCGCGAGGTGCAGGTCTTGCCGCAGTGCGGGCACACGGTGTCCGTGCTGTCGTGCGTGAAGCGGTGCAGCCGCAAACTGTGCTCGTTCTTCAGCCAGACGCCGCACACCGGGCACTCGACGGCCGGCGCCACCACGCCCTGGTGCTCCAGCAGGTGGCGATCGAAGGAGGGCTTGAACTTGAACTTCTTGCCGCAGATGTCGCAGACGTGGCGGTGCAGGTCCTCGTGGATGGATTGGATGTGGCGTCGCAGCCTGTGGATGTTGGCAAAGCTGAGGGAAAAGAGGAGATTAATTAGAATAAGGTAATACAAAATGGAACTTGTAAGGAATAAAGGAAGCGAATTCTTCAGGCGATATTACCTAATAATTTATTTAACTATTTTAATTATGATAGATTTATAATATAACCCAATATTTTAATTAACTATTTTTATTATAATACGGTTTATAGGGTTTATTATAATAGGGTTAGTCATTTATTTAACTATTTGTATTATAAACCCGATTACAATAAAACGGGCCTACGATACTTTAGTTTGATGCCTAGCCGCGAATTCTTGAGGCGCTATTATAATAAAAATAGTTAAATAAAGTAGAATTTAAGCCTTGAAAATGTATGGGAACTCAGAGTATAAAGCCTAATTTAAATTTTCCATGCATACAAGAAAACTGAAGTATTTTCGATACATTGTAAAACTGTTTCGGATAGCTATTAAATTTATTGGGGGACAGACAGATGCATTACATGGCTGATCCAAATTATTTCAAATATAGCTTGCCAATTTCCTTATCTCTAAAGATTATGAATCTTTTATAAGCAAGGGGAAATTATACAGCTATCTCACTCATTTATGTGCGATTTTTAAATGCATTTTATAAGCACATATAGAAAACCATTCAGAACTTTGTATCTACATGAAATGAACTTGGTACAAATAACTTAATAATATAAAAGCAAGCTATTATTTTTTGAGACCTAAGAGTGTTTAGTTTTTTCCTATACATAATCATAATATTTCCACTATTCTTAATCAATCACATCTGAATAATTAATAATAATAGTTTTATAATATAATATTTAAAAATATAAATCCAAACTATAATTTTTGAGAGATCTAAGTTTGTTCAGTTTTTTCCTATACAGTATTGATAATCATGATAGTTTCACTATTCTTAATCAATCACATCTGGATAATTAATAATATAATATTTAAAAATAAAAAAGCAAGCTATAATTTTTGTGAGACCTAAGAGTGTTTAGTTTTTTCCTATAAAGTACTGATAATCATGATAGTTCCACTATTCTCAATCAATTAATCGGATTAGCTGCTAAAGCTCTTAATCTTAGTTAGCTTATAGTTTTAACTTTAAGTTTGCTTTATATAAATAAGTAAATAATCGAATTATTTGAAGTTACAGTAGATCTCTCTTTTTAATCCTCACCTCTTGCAGCAGATCTCGCAGGTGTGCTCCAACTGGTCGGTGTCGTGCTTGGCCAGGTGATTGGCCAACCGGCGCTCGCTGCTGAAGGTGCGCTCGCACTTGGGGCAGGGGAACTTGAGCACCTTGTCGATCTGAGCGACCTTGTTGTGCACCGTCTCAATGTGGGTGGCCAAATAGTCCTGCGAGTTGAGCGACTTCTGGCAAATGGAGCAGCTAAAGGGGATAACAAGCTGCTACAGAAATCAAATCCATATATATAAATCTTTAAAGAACTCACGTAAATAGATTGGGATTGACATGCTTGCGGATGTGATCCATAAGTTTGGAGGCTCGCGTGAAGATCTTGCCGCAGCACTTGATGTAAAACTCTCGCTGATGCGCCTCCAGGAAGTGCGTCTTCAGCTCGGAGAGGTAGGGAGCACTAAACTCGCACAGATCGCAGCTGGCGCTCATGTAGCTGGCGATGGCCTCCTCGTAGCTTTTGGCCAGCTGGGCGCGGGAGCAGCCCTTCGGTTTGCGCTCGAGCACGGCCTGCAGTTCGGACTCCTGCACCTCGGTGGGCGCACGCTGCTCCGCTGTTCCTCCAGTCGCCCTTCTCCTTCGCCGCTTGCTGCCGTCGTCCAGCAGATCCTCCAGTTCGCGGTGCAGGGAATGTGCGCTCTCCGCCTTGTTCGTGCGCACCTTGGCCTTGCGCTTGGGCGGCTTGGGCCGCATCTTGGTCTGCAGCCGCACCAGGGGCTCATCTGTGAAGGAAATTAGTTACAGGTAACCATAAACAAGAAAGAAGAGAATAACCACCATCCGAGGAATCTTCTTCTGGCTGCATCGCCTCCGGCTCGCTATCACTGGCCAGCAGGCGGGGCTTCTTGTCCTGCTCCTCCTCCTCGGAGCCGCAGGGCAGCTGCTCCTTCACCTGGCCCGGCTCCCTCACCTCCACACTGTCCACATTCACGTCTAGGACGCTGCCCAGTAGGCTGAGATTGTGCAGGTCCAGCGGTTTCTCGTCCATGTCGCCCGCCGCCAGCGGCAGCTCATCGATGTTGACGTCCACGTCGACGCCGCCCGTCCACTTCATCGCCACGCAATCGACGTCCACAGTGAGGAACTCCTTCTTCAGCGAGCACTGCTTCTGCTCCACCAGCTGCCAGAAGCCGTTGAAGTCCTCCAGATGCTCGCAGCAGTCGGTGCAGACGCTGGTCGAGATGCCGTCGTCGGGCAGGATCTGTGTGGGAATCCTGGAAGGTTACTATCTCCTGACCAATGCAGCTCCTCCACTCACCTCCAGCTGCAGAAACTTGGCGATCATCTTCACCAGCCGCGTCTCCGCCAGCGTATCGTCCGTCTCGAAGAGGAAGACGGCGCTACCGGGACTGAGGCACCGCAGGCACAGTCGACAAATCATTATGCCTGGGAAATCACTGCGCAAACTGGCTAAATAATATGTTTAAACAAATTTTCGTTGCTGCTGCGCTGTAAACAACAACATTTCAATTAGGGATGGCAAAACTCCCCGTCAGGTGTGGTGGGATTCCAAGGGGTGGCAACGCCAGCATCTAGGGTATTCCCCTGTCCCCAGAACTGCAATTTATTCATGAAAATCAATTTCAACTAAAGCTGCTATTTTAGCTACTTATTAATTAGGTATAATAGGAATTTTATTTAAATAAACATTCAACATTTCGATCTCGGCCAGCGGCCACACCTATCGATAACGATAGGCGCCTGCGCGCAATCTGGCAACACCGCGGCTCTCACTCACATCTGGCAACGGTCGCCGCAAAATGGCAAAAAAATAATACATACGATTTAAAACTAATGGACAATTACGTATTACGTGAAAAGAACGCAACGCAAGTAATCAAAACCCAATTGCCAATCAGCCCAGTTGGCGCGTGTGCGTGTGTGCGTAGCTGCAGCGAAAATCCGTGGGAAAAGTGATTCAAACGGGTTTCAGAATCGGAACCGAGCGGAGCACTTGGGGGCCCTCATCTCACCCGATACCATTTTCCATCTACACTTGCGAAAAGCGACAGCGCGCGAGAGAGACGGCGCGAGTGAGCGGAGAGGGAGAGCGGTGAGAGTTGCGTTGCGAGTGCCAGCGAGTGCGAGCGAGAGCGCCGACAAGCCAGCGCAACATAGCGAAAATCGCAACCAAATCGAAATTCAAGCAAATCGAAGATTCTGGCGAACAAAGACGACTGCCAGCCGCCCACTAGCGACAACAACAACGCTCTCTTTTTGTTTTCGTTCCGTGTTTCGGCCAGCGGCGCTGAGTAAGCGCCAGAAAGAGTGCAAAAAAAAAAAATAAGCGAAGGCGAGAAGAAAGAAGCCCAAGGAGCAACGAACTGTGTTTGCGGTGTGTGCTCTGCGTGCGAAAGGGTAAGCTCTATGTTCTCCCATGCTCGCTCTCGCTCTGGCCGAATCTCGGGCCGGAATCGGGATTTTGGCCAGCAGCGATTGCGAATTCCGTTTAATTCCACAGGGCCTGGCCCGCTTCAGTTTATCGACGCTTTTCCCTGGAAATCTGCTCTCCAGGGAAAATACTTTCGCTAGCTTTGCCAAAAATGAGCTGGGTGCGAGGGGGAGCGAGCGGAGCCCAGCTCGTCCTGTCGTCCCGCTCTCTCCGGCAAACAGCGTTGCATTTGTCGGCGGCAGGTTTGCGTTTTCCGTTTTCATTTGCATCGCCCATAGCTGTAGTTTCTGTCAATTTTTGTTTGATCGGCAAACAACAAGCAGAGCGAGCCCTCGCTAATTGTTTAATAATTGCCAGGTGTTTTCTGGCCTGCCACCCCTGCGTTATTTCTGGTCTGGCTAGATTCGCACGCCCAGGTGGCAACGCCACACCACTCACACGCACGCAATACACACTCACACACACACGCGAAAAGTGCGAAGTGGAAGAGGAAGAACACGACGAAGAAGAAGCAGCGGCAAACTTTACGTTGGACGGTGGAAAGCAGAATCAAAAGTTGGCAATTTATGCGAAATAAAACGTTCAACCGCAGTCGAATATCCATTAGACAGGCGGCCGAGTGTGCCAGCAAACCGCGAAACATTCGAAGTAAACAAATTTGAGCGTTTTCCATTCAGTTTATCATCGCTGCCTAACAAACGAAACGAAACTCCCCGAGTGTGTCGCTGTGTGCGTGTGTGGTGTTTAAACGGTATATTTCACTTTTCTCTTCTCTTTGTTTGCTTTTGCCAGCCAATGTGCATATACATACAGACGTACACATGCAAACATAAATAAAAGGACTTGGCTGCAAGACAGAAAAGAAAATTGCATTCGTCGATTAAATAATAACTATCAAAGCCTCTCGCTCTCCGTGCCCATATATATGTGTGTGTACCAGTGTGCGTTGTGCTTGTTAATGGTTGTTTTTACAACAAAAAGGAGAAAAAGAATTGTTGCCAAGCGTTTAGATTGTCTTGTATTCCCACTCTTGCATCAGTCAAATTGCTTGCATTTTAAATGCCCTGCACCGGGTATGGTTTTATTGTTGTTGGCAGGATTACTGTCCCCGTTTCTGTTTTTGTTGTTGTTGCTGCTAGTGCTGCTGCTGCTGCAGTTGTCAGCCATTGTTCGTCCGCCCCTCCACGCCCCCTCCCGACAATTATTACAAGACGCCACCGCAAAAAATTCTTTCAATGCGTTGCCGCTTCTGCCGCTGCTCTGTTGTATGTGTGGGCAGCACCGTCTAGCCATCTCGCTCCAACTGCCGCCCACCTAGGGCAGCCTCTCAGTTGCGTGTGCCGCGAGCCACTGGCTGTCCTGCTCGCACCAAACATTGCCTGCACTCAGGGGCGGATCGAGGGGGGGTCACTGGGGGATAACTATCCCCCCAAACGTTTTTCGTAATGAACGCAATATCAACAAAATCCCAATTGATTATAAAGCGTTCTTTTTTGTTCTTAACAATTTAAGGATGAATTACTTGATAGATTGATTTAAAAACGTAGTGAGAAATGTATTTATGTTGTATATTTTGCAGTATTTTTGACAAAATATGAAATTTATAACCTATTTTTTCAAATAAAAAATTTTTTTTAAACAGAATTTTTTCAAATCCCAATTTAATTCATTTTTATAGCCACCCCTGGTCGCATTACTGGTGCAGATCGGTCGGGGGTGGTTAAATAGAGGAGTTATTAGAGACAGGCGCATCCAAAACAAAACCCAGTACCAGTAAAAAAAATTATCCTAATAATCCCAACTGATTTCTATCTTTTTCTTCCTCTTGCAGCCCACCAGAAAAACTGAAACAAGGCGATCCCAGCTTGTAATCCTCGTTCTCACCCCGAGCAACAGCCACATCCTAGCCCATCCTCCAGCGCAGCGGGAAGAAGAGGAGCGCGGCGGCGGCGTGAAGGAAGCTAACGCTAATGAGGATCTATTGGCAGCATGAGTACACTGGGGGGAAGTAGGGGAGAGCGAAATGCCAAGCCCAAATTCACAGCGTTGGATATAAATCGCATGTACAAGAATAGCCGCGTAAGTAGAACTATAACTCCATCTAGAAATTAGATAGCTAACTAAGATCTTCATTTTTGCGTCCAGGGCGAGTCGAGTGAACCATCTGCACAAAAGAATCAAGTGCCACGTAAACATGGAATGCAAATCTTGGGCAAAGTGCCGTCCGCTAGGCGACCACCAGCCAATCTGCCATCCCTGAAGGCCGAGACCCATACCAGCAGCAACAACAATCTCCTAGTCTCAGTCGAAGGTGGGTAGTTTCTAAATCTTACATCTTATAATTAACTAATAAAATCTCTCGATTAAAAAGGAGCCACATCTGGAGGAGCGGGCGCAGGCGGAGCAGCGGGACAAGGAGCGGCGGGAACCAACACTAGCCACAACAACACCACTGCCCACAGCGGAAGTTCGGGAGCGGGAGGCGGAGCGGGAGGAGGAGGAGCAGGAGCTGCCTCGTCATCTGCTGGAGGCCATCATAGCCAGCAGCAGGCTCACAGCCAGCACAACAACAACATTGCCGGAAAGTTCATCAACAGCAACAGCAACAACAGCAGCAGCAGCGGCGGCAGCGGCAGCAGCAACAATAATAAAAACTATAAATTAATCAACAACTCCGTGGGCAGCTCCTCCGGCGGAGGAGGAGCAGGTGGATCCAGCGGCGGTTCGTCAGGATTAGGAGGATCAGGAGGCGGATCAGGTTCCGCAACAGGCGGACACTCGATCAACTCGCCCAAGACATGGTCTGCCATCACCACAGGACACGAACGCGGCTCAGGCGGCGGTCAGCACTTTGGCCGCCAGCAGCAGCAGCAGCAGGTTGTGCCCCACTACCAGAGTCCGCAGTTCCAGTACGAGTTTCCCACGCTGGACGGCACAGTTGGCAGCGGCGCAGGCGGCGGTGGATCGGGAACTGGTCTGGGAAGCGGCGGTGGAGCGGGCAAGGGCCATTATCAGAGCCAGACCAATCACCACCAGCATCAGCAGCAGCAGCAGCATCACCAGCAGCATCAACAGCACCACCAGCAGCACCATCGCGACTACCACCATGGCCACGGAAGGCAGTATGGACACCACTCGCATCGCGACTACAGAGATGGCAGCGACGACGTCGGCGGCGGTGGCTCCGCAGAGCTTGGCGAGCTCAGCCTTCGTCCGCAGAACGACACGGCCGCCTGGCTGCATCAGCAGGAGAAGGCGGCCAAGGTGGCGGCGGCGGCGGCGGCAGCGGACCAGGGAATCAACCTACAGGGCCCGGGCCACCATCAGATGGGCGGAGGAGGAAATGGAGGCGGCGCCGGAGGTGGAGGTGGAGGTTCGGGCGGAGCTGTGCCCCTGCCCATTCTCTCACTGATGCCCTCGTTCATGCGCAGCGGTGCTCCGTTGCCCTCCGGAGCCTCTGGAGCGACGGCTGCGAGCATTCTGGCCGGCGGTTCCCTGGATTCGTCGACTCTACCCAGCGCTCCCTATCAGAATGGCATCCTGGGAGCTCGTTCCGCCTCGCCAGCGGTGGTGGGCAGCGGCTTTCGCACGGCCACTGTCCTTCCCAAACGACCAGCGGCCTCCTCGTCGCCACCGCAATCCGGACTGGGCCTGGGAGGATCGCCCACTCCGTCGCAATCCCAGCAGCAGCAGCAGCAGCAGGCCAACGGCGGCGGAGGCGGTCGCAAGGATAAGGACTATGTGGTGGAGCCGGAGGTGGCCCAAATGCAGCGTCCCATCATCCGCGAGGAGGATTTAGAGCGCCTGAACGCCATCGCCAAGGACGATAGCTGGACCAAGCAGGACGACATTGACTATACGAAGAAGCTAACATTCTCGGACGACGAGTCCACGCCGGAGGAGCACCAGCAGGGGCAGGCCAAGCAGCAGCAGGGATCGAACGATCAGCGCAAGCTGTCCAGCAGTTGGCAGCGCGGCAAGGAGAGCACTGAGCAGCCAGCGGAAGTTAATCAGCAGGAGCAGCAGCAGCAGAATCAAGAGATTCGCCAGCAGAACGGTCATCGTGGCAGCTCTGGCAATGTGGGAGCGCCGGTGGCCGGCGGAATTGCCCTGGATGCCAGCGTTTATGAGCGCGTGAAGCAGCGCAAGGAGGAGGAGGAGCGTCGCGAGATGGAACGCAAGCAGGCGGCGGCCAAGAAGCTGCAGGAACTCGAGATGAAGATGAACAGCAAGAAGGCGGCGGCAGCTGCTTTGGCGGGCGAAGGATCGGCATCTGCATCGCTGGCATCCAATGAAGTACCACCACCCCCTTCCTCCGCACCACTGGGCAATGTGAGCGAAGATGAGGGCGGCGGACTGCACCGCAGACCAAGGGGAAGCATCTCCAGTCTAAGCAGCAACGTGGCTCCAGCGGGAGGAGCTGTATCTTCATCCTCATCCGCAGGCGGCGACTACGGTCAGAAGACCTTCCTCACCCATTTCCAATCGAATCTGCCGCCCCGCTTCCAGCGACAGCAGCAGCAGCAACAGCAGCAGCTGCCGCGTTTGGAGAAGAGCGCTTCGGCGAGCAGCGCCTTCGATAGCAACTCGCGTTACCTGCAAAAGGGTGGGGTGAGCGGAGGATCCGGCGCCAGTGGAGGAGGAGGAGCCCAGGCGAACGCAGGTCGCAGCATTTCCGGCGGCTATGGAACGCAAAGAGGTGCCAGCGTGGGAGGAAGTGGAGGATATGGACGCAACCGGCACGACAGCAGCAGTGCTCGCGAGGAGCAGCAGGAACTGGAGCAGCAGCAGCAGCAGCAGCGCTTCACCCGCGGACAGCAGGACTACCGACAGGCGCAGGCGCTGCCGCGCAGCATATCGGAGAATTCGCACCGCAAGACGAGCGTCTCGTCGGCTGGAGATGATGTGCTGGGCGGCAGTGGCTCCTGCTCCTCGTGGGCCGAGCAAACGGATGCCGAGCAGAAGGTGCACCACCGGCACCGCGAGGAGAGCTTCTCCTCGAGCCACAGCCACGACTCGGCGGTGCAGATAAAGATCCTCCAGCGGCCGACGCGCCAGCCCAGTCTCAGCGAGGAGTCCTCGATGCCGCAGAAGCAGCTGCCCGCCTCGCCGCAGCAGCAAAAGACGGCGGCAGAGCCCCCCATGCCCACGCAGATTCTGCGACGCAGCGTGGAGATTGAAAAGTCGGTTGAGGAAAGGCAAACGGATGATAAGTCGGGCTTAGAATCATCAGAGGATAAATCAAAGGCAGCTGGTAAGCTAGAGGAGGACAAGTCCGGTAATAAGCGACCGAGTCCCAGGAGCGGAGCAGCCTGCGGTGGACGGGGAGGAGGTCGCAGCTACAGTGGAGGATCGGCTGTAGGATCGGGAAGTAGTTACCGAGGACAGCGAAGCTCCAGCGACTGGGGAAGCAATCGTGGAAGCGGCGGCGGAGGAAGACGCTACTACGGCAGCGGTGGAGAGCAATCAGAGCACTCTGAAGACGTCGATGAGGATTGCTACAGCAGTGGAGGCGGCGGAGGAGGAGCAGCAGGAGCAGCGCGTCGCAGTCCCAAGGAAACTGCAGCCAATTCCGGTGGTCAAGCTGCGGTAAACAAGGCGGGCTTCTCGCCACGCGGCGAACCTTCGCGACGAGGACGCGGTGGCCTCTCCAGCGGAGGAGGAGGTGGCGCAGGAGGATCCTCTTCCAACTATCGTCGCCAACCCGTGGGCACCGGTGGCTCCGGCTCCGGATCAGGTCGCAGTTATGGTCGCCTCGGCTACGAGGAGTACGGCAAGCAGCGCACCTCCGAATCGGAGGCGGACCTGGACAAGACCAAGCAGAACCAGCTGGCACTCAGCGCTGGACTGCACAAACCCAGCGGCAGCAGCAAGGATGACAACAACAAGGATTCTCAGCCGGCGCTGAGCGGCGAGGAGACGAAGGACAAGACTGCCCCGCTGGCACCGGCAGCAGATGAGTTGCAGAAGGAGGCAGCGGGTCGCCTGCCACCTGGTCTCTCGCCAGTGGGCTCCACATCGCCTGGATCGGCGGCGGAGAAGAAGAAGGCGGGTGAAGGATCCTCTTGTGCCGCTGTAGGTGGTGAAAAGAAGCTGCCCGCCATCGGGGAGAAGACCTCGCTGGGCGCCGTGGGCTCTGGACCCTCCACCAATCTCCTGCTAGACGCCGGTGCACCCGTCAACACGATCATCTTCGAGAACTCCACGTACAAGCAGCAGGCGGCGGCCGCTGCCGTGGTTCCCAAGCCCAGCGCCACCCTGACCACCGTGGACAGCCTGTCGAGTGCCCTCTCCCAGATGAGTTTCGGGGGCAAGGCGACGGCGACGGGAGCAGGTGAGGATCCGCAGGAAATGAAACTGGGCTTCACCTTTGGCGATGATCCCACTGCTCCTTTGAAAGTGGTGGATTCGATTGAGAAGACGGCCAGCCAACAGCAGCAACAGCAGCAGCAACACTCGCAACAGCAACAGCAGCAGCAAAACAATTCGACGGCGGATCTCAACATGAAGATAGCCAGCGTGAAGAAGGTCTGGGAGTCGGCCACGCCCATGTCGGAGCAGCAGCAGCAACAGCAGCAGCAGTCGCAGGTGCAGCAGCCGCAACAGCAGCAGCAACAGCAGCAGCAACAACAGCAACAGCAACAACAGCAGGTTGTGGGTCAGCAGCAGCAGGCGGGCGACGATGGCAGTGGCCACATGAGTGCCGCCTCCTTTGTGGCCGCCGTGGCCGCCTCGCAGCACCAGCAGCAGCACCAGCAGATGCCCCACTACGCGGTGTCGGCGGTGCACATGCAGCAGAGCCACCACCACCAGCAGCAGCAGCAGCAGCAGGCGGCGGCAGCGGTGGCGGCAGCGCAGGCGCAGCACCACCAGCAGCAGCAGGCGCAGCATCACCAGCAGCACCACGCACTCTCCTCGCCGGGACCGGTGCCCGGTAATCATGGCCATGGCTACGGACATGGATCGCCGTTCGACGCGGGTTCGTTGGAGCAGCAGTTCCAGCAGGAGGACTACCCCAGTCCCCAGCAGCAGCAGCAGCAACAGCAGGCGCATCAGAAAACGAAGCAGCTGCAGCAACAGCAGCATTTGGGCATGTCTCCGCCGCCCAGTCAGCAGCAGCAGCAGCAGCAGCAACACTCGCAACAGCAACAGCAGGCGCACCAGCAACAGCAACCCCACCAACAGCCCTCTTTCTACCAGGCCTCACCACAGTTCGGAGTGGGCGGCATTCCCACGATCCCCAGCCCGCCGGCGGTGGTGTTCAACTCGTCGCAGATGCCCCCGCCGCCGTCGCAGGGCGGCAATCTGTACGCTCCATTCCATTCGCTCGATCATTCGAGCCGTTCGCCCGCCTACTCGGCGGCAGCGGCGGCCGCCCACAGCTTCCCGAATCATTATGCGGCAGCAGCGGCGGCGGCGGCAGCGGCAGCCGCGGGCGGCGGTCCCTTCAACGTGAACGTAAATGCCTACGCCACGCCCACACCGGACATGTACTCCAATCTCTCCTCGCAGTTTCGCCTGGGCGGCGGTCCGGGTCCCGGTCCCGGGCCCTTCGGGCAGCCCAGCTCGCAGCAGTTGAGCCAGGCGAGCAACCACGCCGCCGTGGCCATCATCTCGTCCAGCAGCAACTCCATGATGTCCTCGGGAGCGGCCAAGCCGCCGCCCAGCCAGCAGCAAATCGGGGCCATAGGCTCCAAGTCGGCGGGTAGTGGAGGAGGAGGTCCAGGTGGACCAGGAGGACCCGGTCCCGGTCCCTATGCCACCACCCAGCAGTACATGAATCTTTATGCGGGCCCACCGCCGCCACAGCATCCGGGGCAGGGCGGTCCGCCGCCCGGAGCCCATCAGCTGCAGTCGAACAGCTACTACTCGAATTCGGCGCCCGGCGGACCGAGCGGACCGCAGTTCTATGGCGGACCGCCGCCGCCGCCGCAGGGAAATGGCGGGGCGCAGAGCTATGGCCTGTATGGCGGCCATCAGGGCGGACCGCCCGGATCAAATGGACCGCCGGGACCGCCGCAGTCGCAGCACACAATGGGCACCTTTAATACGCAGTTTATGAACTCGCAGCTGCTCACGGCAGCGAGCATTAATCAGTACCGCGGCGGACCGACGCCCGGAGCGGCCTATCTGAAGGGCAGCCAGGCGCAGGCGCACATGCAGGATTCGGTAAGCGATTATATTATATTATAACCATATATTATATTGTCGTCTTCCCAGTTCTTTGTAAGCAAGACAAACAATTCAAGACCATGAAAGTTTGAGCAAGATTCGGAGCCAGAGAGATTTATTCCCGATTTTTAATCATTTGTTCGCAGTGCAGAACAGAAAGCCATTGCAATATTTTCGTTTCTAGTTGTTTTTCGAGCGAAGCAATTCAAGACCCCAGTTAAAATACACATGGAATCAAGATTAAGCAAGATTCGGAGCCAGAGATTTGCAGAAAAAACTAGAATTGTATACGATGTATTTACCTTTGTGTTATCCCCAATATGTTTCACTTTTGTAATGGTCGCTTTCGAATTTTTCATTATGGTTCTATTGATTTTGAGCAAGACCAATTGTGCTTGAACCATGTGGAAAATAAATACTCAATAAACGATTGATACATTAGTATCAAGTTGTTTTCATATTTCAAATTATGCAAGGGTCTGAGATTAATGTGGATTATGAAGAGTCGGAGGTAGATATTGAATTGAAAGCTTTCATTGCACGAAACTATATAAAAAGTAACTAACATTCCCAAGTAAATCCCTAAATAATAGTGATGTATTATTTTTTCAATACTTAGTAATGATTTAGGGCCGTTTTTTCGTCCGCCTGTTAAATTTAAAGTGGGGTTAAAATTCTGATTTCCCATACGATTTCAAGGTTTTAACCCTACTTTAAATTTAACAAATGGACGAGAAAACGGCCCTTAATATATTTACTACATGAAAAACTCACATTGAGATGTTTTTTTTAATAATCCTAAAGGTTCTTCAAAACTTTATAGGCAAAGAAGTTAACGCGTCTGTTTTCTATATCTATTATAGAAATTTGTATTATGGGATAGTTTATTTCTTGAAACCATTATAGTTTTATCACAGTGATTTTTTGAAATACTGGTTTGTAATTAATCAGAGAATAGTAAAAGGACAAAAGTAAATTGTTTGGAAGCCCAAAAGGTTTTCCAAAATGCGATGTTCATTTTTGTTAACACAAAGAACAGGAGGTTTGGACTTTACATTACTTCAATCAAAAAAGGCAACTAAACAAAAATTTCTATACAAAAATTACAGCCGGAGAATTTCGTGTTCAGAATGTTTTTTAGAGATTTTAATTTCGTAGGCTTTTCGATTGAAGTTTGTACTAAAAGATAAAGATATTCTAAATATTGAATATTTTTAAATGACAATATTTGAACAATAATTTTTAATGACAATATTTAAAAAGGTTCCGAGGTTTTAAACTAATGTTTAAAAGGTGTAATATTATACTTAAAAATGCATAATTTATTACAGCCGTTTATATCTTTTTCTTTGGCTAATCAATTTATTTATTTATATAAAGCAAAATTAAAGTTAAAACTATAAGCTAACTAAGATTAAGAGCTCTTGCAGCAAAGGCCTTCAGCTCGTCTGAGGTGTCGAATTAGATACATTTTTATTTTTAAATTTGTGAATTTAGATTTTGAGCTTAATTTGGCTAATCATATTTCTCCGTTTTCTTCCGCAGATGGGACGTCAGCTGAAGAGTCCTTTGAGCGCTGACATGAGTCTCGGTTTGGCCAAGCAGGTGCAGTCGCAGCCCAGTCCCCCGCACCACAAGAACTACGGAGCGGTAAGTGTTCCACTCTTCTCTTAGCCCTTAATCGAATCATTCTAATCTATATATCCTACCCTTCCAGTGGGACCTGCAGAACCAGGTGCTGCAGCAGCAGCAGCAATCTCAGCAGCAACAGCAGCAGCAGCAACAGCGACAGGGCGGCGGCGGCGGCAACGGGCCGAACATGAACGCCCTGGGCGGCCGTGGCAGCGGTGCTGTGGGCAGCGTGGGCAGCGGCAACGGCGGCGGAGGCGGTGGCTCCCAGGTGGGCGGCAATGGCGGTGGCAACGGCGTCGGCAGCGTGGGCCAAAGCGGAGGCGGCGGCCAGGGACGCTATCCCACGCCCATTCAGCGACCCAACAATTACCCGCAGCATCCGCAGCAACAGCAGCAGCAACAACAGCAACAGCAGCAGCAACAGCAGAGGGAACAGGCGGCAGCAGTGGCGGCGGCAGCTCAGCGGGCCCAGAATATGCGCCAGGTGACCGGAGGCGGCGGGGGCGTGGCCGGAAGTGCCGGCGGCGGTGGCAGCAACACACCTGTTGGTCCGCCCGGCGGCAATAATGGAGGAAATCCAGGTCCAGGCGGAGCGGGCGGCGGCGGAGGAGCGGGCGGAGCGGCGGGCTCGGGTCCGGGAAAGCCCTACTATGCGAATAATGCCTCCGGAGCCGGCGGAGCGGGCAACCGGGGTGAGTGGCATGCGAACTGAGCGCCAGGTGGTCACCCAGAAGAGCCCCGCAAGGAAAACACAGCGATGGAAAAGAATAGCGGAGGAGGAGAAGCAGCAGGAGGATCAGCAGGAGAGGAGTAGCCCATCCAAACCGAGAACATAACACGTAAAAATCAGAGAAAGTCAGAAAGTCAGCAAGGAGTTAAACTAGAAAAGTGGAATATAAACAAGCAAAGCAGCCTAGACAAAACAGCATCCAATCTTCAAGAGGAGATCGGGTTAATGTGATGTGATGTGAGTAGGCAAGTGAGCTATTGGGGGATTCCCCGTCACAACCGAAAAAAAATGGCATAATGGCAACTCAGCTAAATCAGCGAAATCAGAAGAAAGTAATCGCAAATCGAAAAGTGAAAGTGAGGAGACGAAAGGTTCAACAGGAAACGAGTAAGGAATACCTAAATTGCAAGAAGAAATATTTAAAAAAGAAACACACCACACCACACCACATACCACCACACACACACACACATGCATACATTTACATATACATACATACATACAAAATAGCAGAGTGTATTTTTTGTCAAACAAATTTACATAATAATATATTACTTTTATATACTTATGATTTTTTGTAGTAGATTCTTTTCTCCTTTAAACAAAACAAAAACAAGAAAAAAAACAAAACAAAACAAACAAAAAACAAAATGAACCTTTGGCACTGCGTATGCTTTAATTTCTTTATATATACATATTGTTTAATTTTTTTGCAACCAACAAAAAATCAACTAATAATTCTAATTTATGATTATGCTACAATATACATTATATATACCATCTATCTATCTATATCTATCGATATGAATCTTTCTGTGTAGACAGCGAATAAGAGAGAGACAGACAGACAGAGAGAGAGAGAGAGAGAGAGAGAGAGACAGACATAGACGGACAGAGAGAGAGAGCTATGAACGAGGGAGACAAAAAGAAGAGTTTGTTTAAGCGCAAATTTAAGTTCAAACGTAAAACAAATACATTTAGAAATCTTGTCGTCTTTTAAACATCCACCAAGACATATAGACACTTGCGTCACAAATTGTACTCGGCGGGCTCTATATTGTTATATATAATATAGTCAACTAAACCCTGATCCTAACTAAACTAAACTAAAAAACACAGGGAGAAACGAAAACGGACCCAAACTAAAATTTGAAAATAGTGTTCAGCGCAATCGCACACGGGTGGCAACGCCGCCGAAAACGCCAGAGCTGCCACCTCGGCCGCTGCCGGCGATAATTAGTTAATCGATTATCATTAACCCGCCAGTCCTGCTGCAATTTGAAAAAAGGGAAAACACGAGAAAGGACGTTCATGCTCAAGGTAGAAGGCAAACGGTGGGGAGGTGAGGTGAGGAGGCAAAATGAAATTTAAACAATTTATATAAATGTGTAATTCATTATGTAACTGTAACCTAACATGGATATGATATGTATGGCATATACTACACGAAAACAAAACAACACACAGACACCACACAAGCAAACATAATATATATATACATATATATAGAGGCAAAATCCAAGCGAAAAACAAAAACACTCCAGCAAACATTTTTAAGGAAAAAAAGCAAGAACCGACACATATATCCCAGTAACAGTAATTAATACGATTATACTCGGATCGAAGTCCCGCAGAGTCGGGCAGGGATCTCTTAACCCCATAAAGCCAACCGGGGCGACGAAATCCCTGCCCTGTCCCGCAGGACTATGCGACTAAATGTAGTAGAATTAATAATTAAACAATGCAAAATAAGAAAAGCAAAAGCAAGGCACTTTTCGCTAGGCTTCTGAAAAAAACCGAAAATAAAACCGAAACCATATAGCGATATTAATTAGTCCACACACACACACACACATAAACTCTCTCTCACATACGCCCCAGCCACGCCCACATGCGAAAAAAAAACCCAAAATATTTGGGCGGTTTGCTATGCCAGGCAATGTTTAGTTATAAAAAAAAAAAACAAAAAGAAAAAGAAAGCAAACACAAATTAATGAAATGAGTAACGATGAGTAAAAGTAACAAAGCAAGCTTGCTATCACACAATACATGTAAAAGGTATATTATATAGCATATTGATAAATGATATAAACATTAATTTATACCTATATTTTAAATGCATCATCTGGTTTTCCGTCTCCACCAAGCGAGGATAGCAACAACATAAGCAGGATAACGACTACGAGAACGATAACGATGACGATGACAATGACGGTTAGGCAGGAAACGGAACGAAGAGGAAGAGTAGGTGGTGGAGTGGAAAGAAAGGAGGAGAGGAGAAGATATGGCATACATGCATACAAGTATATGTAAACCATTTTTACATTCAATTCATTCAAATTAATTTTTAGTAATACTGAAATTTCGATAAACCGGGGCAGCGAATGCTCCGCCCCCGCCCCGCCCCCTCAAAAAGTCCCAACCCACGAAAAAGAGGAAATTTAAAGCAAGTTTGAAATGAAATAAAACTTTAAATAAAATATTAAAAACAGAAAACCAAAACCAAAAAGGAAATCAAACCCGAAGTTTGGTAGATGTGTTCCTAGACTATGTAAAACTAACTGCCTATTCCATTCAGCGACTTTGTAATTGCAATTGTATTGATGTGGGATAAAAAGGAAAGGTTCTAAACTGGCGGTGCGGTAAATATTTTTTTACTTTTCAGGTTGCCCTTTTGCTTGGAGAGATCGTCTGAATCTAATTAACAACATTTATATGGGATCGAAAGATGGAATGGTTCTATATAGGCGTTGCTTTTTTCCAAGTATGGAAACTTTACAGAAAATTTTCTAGTTCTATTTTATATTTCGGTCAAATTTTTAAGAAATTAAAAATAATTTAATATAGTGTAGTCGTCCGACTTTTATAAAATAATTCCTTTAATTCTGAAATATTAAAAAAAATTATATCTCAGATTAGTGGAGAATATTATAAACATTATAGAAGCTGAAGAAGTATTTTCCTATGAGTTCTCTGTCCGTTCCTATGGCATCTATGTGTATGATATGATACAGTCGTTCGATTTTTTTAAAAATTAAATTTCTGAAATATTTAAAAAAAGATAAGAAGGTATTACGCCTAAAAACACAGAATATGGAAGATATAAATCTAGAGAAATCATATAAACAAATAGAAGTAGGTTAATGAACTCGATAAAATAAAATGCTAACAGGTTTAGTCAAAGATATTTAGCTGGAAGCAATTAAATTCAACGATTTTAGATTATTTTAAAAACATGGTAACTGATATACTTCTTCAAAAGTAAAAACAGTACAAGTTGCCTTCTAGAAATTATTCCTTCTTACAATTGGCTCTAAATTTGTAAATATGGTATATATGCCCTAAAGACCATCCTGACTGAACTACAGAAATCATGTGGGTTTTCAAATGATGGTTGTGTTGGTAATTTTGAAGTATTCAATAGGTATTCCCTTGGAGATGCCAAACGAAGAAGTAAAAACAGGTGTGCCCCTGGTCATTATGGACTTTTCTCCATCACCTGGTGATGTTACGAGAAGGACTTTCCATGGAGGGACATCTTAACGAGCTTATTTTCAAGAGATCCGCCAAATGAGTGCCATGAAATCGTGTGCGAGTCCAAGGATCGTTACATAATGTCAACCGCGGGGTTCAGTGTGTTACATTCTCAGCTTATTTATTCCTTCAAGGTCTTGCACTACACATAAAATAAACTGATCCGGAGTCCAGCGGCGACGGCGGTGCGTCCTCCGGGATTTCCGGATCCAGAACTTCCGATGCGGCGGATGAGAGGCGGAGGAGCAGGAGCCCTACTTCTTCTTGGGCTTCAGCACCTGGTAGGCGATCAGCAGGCCCATCACGGCGTACGTGGCCTTGGCCACCTGGATGGGATGGGATGGCATAACATCCGGATTAGGATTGGGATTACAATTAGAATTAAAAGCACACTACTCACGTTAGCACGGCCGCTCATGGTGGTGCCATTGAAGATCTTCGACAGACCGGTCAGTTTCTCGCCCTCGCCAGCCATTTCTGTGGGTTAAATGTGATATGTGGTCAGTGGATCCCGGGGCCAGTGGTCCGTGGGCCTGTTCTACTCACCTTGGGGTTTATTTGCACGGAATTCGAGCTGCTGCAGTGGCCAGAAAAAATATTTGCGGCGAAAGGTTATACAACTGACTAGACAGTGTTGCCAGATGAAAATTCAGCCTTCCCCCTAAAAAATCTCAAACACTCGATATTTCCCCCTACAAAATTATCACAACGGTTGGCAGTTCTTTTTGGCCAATCGCTAATCGATAACACAGTGCATGGCGGCGAAAATTTGAAATAATTAAAACAAGTAAATCCGTTAGTTTTGATTCATTAATTAAACTATCTAAGAATAGAATACTATATTATATTACAAATGCTCATATTAACATATATATATTTTTTTTTTATAAATGTTATTTATATTATTTGAACCCCTTTTTGTATAGGTGCAAATTTTTTAGGTATTAATGTTAATCGATTAGAAAACTTATTATGAACTAAAACGTTTTTTTATTTGTTAAAAATTGGATTGGAAAGGCTCAAGTGAAAAGTGAAAGGCAAAAGGTTAAGGGGTATTCAAAAAGTATGCAACAAAATAGGTTTAAAAAAATCAAATACCCAACTATTTTCTTATATTTCAGATACCTATTTTCTTTTTTAGTTGTGTAGTTCTTGTAATGAATACTCCTTTTTTCTGATTTATTGCTCAATGTTCTTATTTAAAATCGAGCATCTGTAATTTAGTGTTGACCGTCACTCACAATGTCAATTGGCAAATTATAGGGTCCTTATCAAATGTCAACAGCAGTTCTGTCGAATCTCATCTAATTAAGGAGCTAAAAATAAACGCCCCGCAATTATTCGCCGGCTCGTGTCGCTCAAATCTCCACAGACTCATTAAAATTATAATGCACTTGCTGGGAACTAAAGGCTGCCATTTGATTGTCAGCAGGAGCAGGAGAATGGGCCGGCATTAAATAGAATGCAGCGAGGGGCAGAAAAAAATCGTGTAATTAGAGGCATAAATGCACTTGAAGTCCACCCAAGTCCACGCCCATTTAGCCCACAAATCCGGGCACAAAGGTGCATATTAAATGGAAGCGCTGCCAAATCCTCAGCCACAACAATTAGCGAAAAAAATACAGTCGAACGTATTTTTCTCGAACTCTGCCAAGTCGAGATTAAGTGGCAAAGGTCTTAAAATACAAGAAAATTAGTTTTTCTAGTTAATTCCAAACTTACCTTTCGAGATAGCATCCTTTTTCGAAAAAATTTATTATTTCTTACACAGAAAAAAAATTACAAAAGATCGGATTGATACTTATTTTTATATTTTTTAGAAATCAAGTTATTCATATCATTTTGACATTATTAAAGATTAAGGTGTTCAAAAAATACTAAAAATTGTATTTTAGATTATATGATAAAATATCAAGTTGATATGTTTGAATCATAAATTTGAAATAAATCATATCGGCATTTTTATACCCGTTACTCGTAGAGTAAAAGGGTATATTAGATTCGTGCAAAAGTATGTAACAGGTAGAAGGAAGCGTTTCCGACCCTATAAACTATATATATTCTTGATCAGGATCACTAGCCGAGTCGATCTAGCCATGTCCGTCTGTCCGTCTGTCCGTCTGTCCGTCTGTCCGTCTGTCTGTCCGTCTGTCTGTCTGTATGAACGCTGAGATCTCGGAAACTATAAAAGCTAGAGGATTGACATTTTGCATGCAGATTCTAGGAGTTCCTACGCAGCGCAAGTTTGTTTCAAAAGG